CTGGTACGCATGGAGTGAGGGGAAGGGGGATGGGGGGAAGGGTGAATGGTTTCATTGTTAACCTTTTTAGTTTTTATCTCCTGCTTTGTAAATTAATTTAACCTCAAACAGGAGGCTCCAGCAAGCTATTACCAGAGCAGGAAATAAGAAATTCTAAATTAAACAAAATGTGCAATAAAGAAAGTTTAAACATTAGATCTCTCTCTCTTGCGGAAATGTTTAGGAAGGCTAAAGAACAAAGTGATTTAACTCCTAAATGGCAGAGAATTGAGCAGTAAGACTGCAGAGGCATTCATAAAAAAGGAAAGTAATAGAAAACCTATAACATATGCATAAGTAATGATAAATAATTGTATTTCAGTCTAGAGTCTCCACAATGCAATGTTAATTAACCATTTTAGCTAACCAAGTTTAACAGGGTTATTCACTGAAACCTGAATGTTCGCAAACAATTTCTGAATTGTGAAACAGACAAAAATACAGAACGTGACTTATTTTAACCTCAATTTTACACTTTGGATATATTTTGCTACAATTAGTAAATAATCTTGATAATATTCACAAAAGATAAATTAATGTACATGCATCAGATATATTAATTTCTCTCATGGGTCAAAATAAATGTTTTAGATTTTTTCAAGCAAGCTTTCTTAAAAATAATTTAAGCCAATAGTGGCAGATATATGTTTAACCTCTTAAGGACCAAACTTCTGGAATAAAAGGGAATCATGACATGTCACACATGTCATGTGTCCTTAAGGGGTTAATGACTATTTCCAATGGGATGCCTTTTGAGGATAGATAATCCACTCTCTCTTCTCTGCATACTACATCTCAGTAACAAGAACATTCCAAGCACTCTAGCTGTTTGGTGTCAGGAGTGCCCTGTCTTCAACCCCCTAGCAACATGGATGTCCCTGCTTAGGATCTTTTATTATTTCTTCAAAACTTGCCATGCTTCCGGCTCTCTATAGGAAGTTGTGGAGACAGGGAACAGGGCCTGGAAGACCCCAGTAAGAGTCAAACTATTCTACTACTTACTAGTGGGCACTCCTGGTACCTTAAAGGGACTCTCCAGTGCCAGGAAAACAATCCGTTTTCCTGGCACTGCAGGTCCCCTCTCCCTCCCACCACCCACGCCCGGTTGCTGAAGGGGTGAAAACCCCTTCAGTCACTTACCAGAGGCAGCGACATGTCCTACGTCGCTGCTTATTCCTCCGCCGCCAGACAGCCACTAGGGGAGGACTTAACCCTGCAAGGTAATTATTGCAGTTAATGAAAACTGCAATAATTACAGCTGCAGGGTTAAGGGTTGTGGGAGTTGGCACCCAGACCACTCCAATGGGCAGAAGTGGTCTGGGTGCCTGGAGTGTCCCTTTAATCACTTTGGTCCTTCACATGTATTTTTTTTATTTCAGTATGCATAGACAGCACATTACTGAACGGAGACAAAAATTTTAATTTTGTCTGGACAGAAAAGCTTATAAAGCGGCACTGTCACTGTCTGGGGACTTTACAGAATTCACAAATACCCCTGACTGTGACAACGCTGCTGGGGGTCCAGTGGGGATAGGTAAAGTTGAGTTCTACTTACCTGAACATGTCTAGCGCAGGTGCAGCCATCTTCTTTCAGCGGGACAGCTTCAGCGGCAGGATCCGACCTCACTGATGTACCCTCGGACACGCGAAGGGTAATTTTTGTGTTGCGGGATTGTGCCATCGATAAAATCTACGTTGTATTGCATGTCTCACATTAACAGAATAAATCTAGTTAATCACCCTTGAGCCTATAATGATGAAATTGAAAGACTCACATTTTCTCGTTGTTGTTTCCACCAGATGAACTGCGAAAAGAAATGACAGTGGTCAACATAAAAGAAACTCTGGAGAAGCTCTGTGGACAAATCAACAATAATGTAGCAAAACAGGCCAACACTGTCCTGCAAATACTGGCAAACTGCAGCCAGAACAGTGGCCATTTTTTTGCCTAGTGATTGCTATGATCTTTTTGCTGTATGAGCGACATATTACACTATATTTTGATATAGTAACACAACCAATACTTTGGCATTGGTCTCTCCTGAAATTCACTTAGGCGTAGATAACAGTATTTTTTTGCATGACTCTGAATGAGAACATCAGTCAGAAGATCAATAGTTAGACTTGAACAACAAAAATCCTGGCATGCATTAAAGGAACCTGATGATTAAAGAGATAACATAATCGTCTATTTAAACTGAAATCTTGGCAATGGTGAGCATACGCAATTGGGTTTCCTGTAGGAAGTAATTAAATGTAATAATGAATTTATCTATTTACACAAAGGGCAGTTAAGTCCAATTAAACCACTTAGTGCCAAACCATCTAGGATATTAGGAAAATTATGATGTGATGCAAAAAGATCCCCACGTGTAAGACACATCTTCTTTAATAACATTGACCCTAATGTCTTGTAAAGGTCTACGGGGGGGAGAAAGAACTAGTCAAATTTGTATCACCAAAAAAAGAATGCGTTTTTATCCTAGAACCTGATTTTCAGCCATCTGCATCAGTATTAAGATTATTGATCATCACCTAGATTTGGGGGTGTTTAAAAGTGTACTAAGCTGGAGAAAAAAAAAAAGTAATTTGAAATTCAAGTTCTCTTTGGATCGGTCAAGAACAGAAATGTAGGTAAGATGACGCAGAGCAGTTTCAAACCATGCAACAATTAGATATTCAGGCCTATAGATCTTCAATATATTTATCAATTGCAGATAATCTTCATTTTCTGTATTTCTTTTTTCAAAAAACAGGAATTATAAATCAGATACATACACATCTGCACAGAAACCATATGTTAACCTTATTGTATTTATTTTTTTCATATCTAGAATTAAGGAGACATTCAATATTTCGTTAACTGAGATTTAAAGTTTCTGTAGACTTCATACTCTCAAATACAAGGTATATAAATATATGGCAGGATAAATAAAAAGCTAAAGGATATCTCTTGGTCCCAATTTCCTCAACGGTATAGGTGAAATTAAAAGAGAAAGAAAAAAAATATAGAGCTCACGAAAATAAAACAATGGGCATAAGATATAATATAATACCCACTTTTCTTTGAGCAGTTAGAATGCTTAGTACTTCCAGTATAGGTGGTATAACCTCCACCAAGGATAGATGTCTAGATTCAACTGGCGAGTGCTGGAAATAGAGGTAAAAAAATATAATAAAAAGTATAATTGATAGAACATAGAAACAATAAATTAAAATAATCCACATCGTTTAGCATCCTATTTTTAGGCCTTTTTCAAGTGAATTATAGAATCCATGGTAAACAGGAATACATAGGGGAAGACAAATTTGAAATCTGCGATCATGTGAGAGCAGTCACGTGACCATGTGAATAGAAACTATACGTACATACAGTGTTAATAAAAAGATCTTTTGTAACATAGGAGAATTGAGTAAAAAGGCAAAAAGATACGTCAACCAAATGAAAAATGTTATAGAAGCAATATAACTAGATCGGAAGGTCAGATCGAGTCTGTGCTTCACGTGACTAAATCCTACATACAATGCCGGCAGTGTGAGTGGGTAGTGTTACTGTTAGGAGGGGAAGGTTTAGGAACAAAACACATTATTACACATTATTAAAGCCCCTTAGATATTGGTAGGCCACAACGAAGTAGTAGGTTGCTTGTCGGCCATATTAGATAAGGGTGGGCTTTTCCTTTACATGTACCCACGGATAAAGAATAAAGGCTAAAGGAAGCAAGGCCATTTGGTGAATACCTCATAGTTTTGGACTTTTTTTATAAAATAATTTTTCTATTAGGCGCAACCTGTTTTGTTTTCTTGTATTTTGGTTTCTATTCTTCAAGGTTTTGAGGGAATTGCTTGTTTTCAGCGTTTGCTGACAAAAGTAATCTGCTGGTTAAATTATTGGCACTTAACCATCTCAGTGTATACTACAATTGCATGGATTGATATATATTATATATGAGTAGGCCCTAATAAAAGGAAATTAGTTAAGTTTAGTGAAACGCTTGTTTACTGAAAAATGACAACTTTAGATGTATGTCTAATTTATAAAACTAGAACATATTTACCTCTTTTCCTGCATTACCAATTCACTTGCCAGCTTTTCAATTTCATTTTACGTACTGAGACATCGTCTACTTGTCTGGCTTTCCGAAACTCATTGTCTGCGTGGGTAGTCCAGGACTCCCAAATTGTTTTTAACATAACTTTTTACATGCTTTTAAATAAAGTGGTGTTTCCTTGAGAACTGTGTGTGAAATACTTGATATTGCAATATGAAACTGCACTTTCATACATTTACTTGATCCCATTTAAAATTGAAAAATTTACAAAAATATAAAAATAACAAAATTAATTTGATTAAAATAAAAACAATAAATAAAGCAAAAAAACCCAACTATTTTTGATCAGGTAAGAGGTATTTTAATATGAAAAAAAATGTTTTTGGTGCTGGTCTCAATTTAAACAGAGATGCATCTAGTATTTTTCCATACCACTGTGGTCAGGGATTTTACATTTAAGGAAATAAAATGTAAAAAAACAAGCTGCTGATTCACAAACCTGTGTAAATGGGATATTGTCTGCAAAGTACTCCTTCGGCAAAACTTCTAGTTCCCAAGATCAGTTGGGATAATCCCAAATTCACGATTCAGTCTCACCATCCTGCAAGTGTTCTCAAATATTCCGTACGTGTTGACAAAAAAGAAATGCCCCAATCAGCAAAGCGCAAGGGCATCAATAGACACAATGTCGCTTAACAGAACACACCCCCTCACCCTTACTGGATAAACCCATTCCTTTACCAGGTGGTCCCACACATTTTCACTGCCCACCGTAGCTTCCTGGATCTAGTACTTGCCGCCGCTTGTGGTATGCTTCAGATGCAAATCATTAAGCAGATAAGCAGAGGGAATGTATGGTAAAAATTGGTTTCCGAGACAAATATAAATGATGCACATGAAAAAAATATATATTTTTTAAAAATAATTGCATGTTTTATTTTGTAAATCTTCTTAAGGGTATTACAGTTTTTTGTTTTTTTTAGCAGGAACAACATATTACATATACACTATGGGTGTCTTTATTTAACACATGTTAAGTGTATTTACCAAGAAATTCCACTGTTTAAGTAACCTTTCAAAATAATAAGAGTGTGTGTGTGTGTTGTAAAATAACACCACTCAGTGTGAAGGCCATATTAATTTACATGAAGATAACATTTACTTTAATATCCATTCCAAATAGGATATCTCCTCAATTTATATGCTCAGGAATAAACGTTGAAATAACATTAATGGCATAGAGCACTTGTTCAACAGGTGCACCAATTACAAAATCACTAACAATTTCATTTAACAAACAGCATAAAAAGCTGAATTACAGGCAAACTTGTGTAAATTAAAAAGAAAATGAGGTTGTGAAAAATAATGGCTCGGCATCACCACGTGGCAGAATATATATAACAAATCACATCTGTACATGACAATGGTACATGACGATGCAAGGGTTCAGTACGAAGTTATTTTTTTTACTTCTTGAGCCATACAATCGCTAGCAACTTTGCTAGCACAACGTATACATAGTACTTTAAGGCCTATATGCAGTATGAAAATAAAATCCCTTTTGGGTATTGAGTTACACCACTGTTTAACACATTGAAATGTAAAATGACACTGTATGAAAACATTGGGACACTGGTAATTGCACAGAACATGCTTAAAGCCAGCAGCACCATTGCTATGATCGAACACTACAACAATACATAGTCAGAAGAAATGTAAACACACTACATAGATGCACATTTTTTTTTTTTTTAAAGAACCTGCATATGCACTGTTTAAACATGAAAAATACAAAAAAACTATACAAACTCACTAGAAAACACACTATCTTAGTACAAAATGGAAAACTTTACTTTTTTTTAAACGTAATATACAATTTCATATTATAAGTCTTAATACAGAATCTATAGTAATTAGAATAACCACAAGGAGTCACCATAAGAATGTATGATAAAAAAGCATTTCCCTAAAAAGAATTAATGAAAAAAAAAATCTTAACTCAGCAATTTATTTGTTGGTCTGGCAAGCATTACACTCTTTAAATTATGAACCCAGTGGCAGACCGTTCTGAGACATGGTAGTCCTCATTCTGGGGTAAATTCATTAAAATACTATCTGAAATCACTTCTACATATAAAGCCGATTTACTATATCCAGTGTACGAGCTAAACCTGTGAATGTGACTACTGATGTGGGCATGTATGAGTTTAGGATTTCTTTGATACACATGTTCTCAAAGCCTACCTATGTAACCTAGGGACAATGAGGTCTTCCATTGGAATAAAATGTATTTCATAGTCTGACTTCCAATTTTCACTAAGCGTTACCTTTACCTAAAATTACTAACATGCCAAGATTAAAGGAACACAGATTGATGTAATGGTTATGGTGCCAGGAATGGCCTGGTGTCCCTCACTGTAAGTAGCCAAATTGTTGGTTTGAATGTTTTTTTGGGGGTTTTTTTTACGGGTGTCTTCCAGGTGCCGCTGTTCCCCACTCCACTAACTCCAGAGAGACTTATGTTCCTTACCTCACTGGCTGGTTCTATATATATATATGTTTCTTGAAAGGTAAAGATTAATACATTTAAAAAAAAAAAGAAGAAAAAAAAAGTGCTACACAGAAACACTTTTATTAAGTGTCTAATTATAATGGTTCCTTTTTTAGAATAAAATAATAAAAAGGTCTATAGTTGGTAGACTAAGGCAGTTAAGATTGGATGCATGTTAGAAGGCCAATAGAAAAATACATTTTGAAATTACAGCACCGGTGAAGACTAAATTGCAGTCTACATATGCTGCTTAATGAACCATTTTTGACGTTCCAAAACATGTAATATCTTTGATGCCCACATTTGAGGAAAGTAGCTCTTGCAAGAACAGACTATCTAGTCCAGTTGTTGTGAACCCCTAGGTCCCACTAATAGGGTCTCCATGTCATTTAGTGGGTCTTTACCACCATGAAGAAGCTTTTTGCATTATGAATCAGTCCTCTGGTAACTGCTCACTGCTTTGCCTAGAGTTAAGGAGACTGATTTGATGCAGGAATTAGTCTAATTTAAAGCGGCACTATCGCACCACATTTACCTTTCTCCTATTTTTTCTGCTTCTCTTCCTCTCTCAGAATCCATTTTTTTTTTATATATATATTTGATCTAGTTTTCTTTAAAACATAAGACAAAGTAGGGACTGTCTTTTGCAATTTTCCTATACTTGACTTTCTTTGACCAAAGGAGGAGCTTAAGTCAGTTCCATTTCCTGTGTCAAGGAGGAGGGCGAGTATTGTGGGAAAAGTGTTTTAGAGATGGGAAATGGAACTAACTTAAGCTCCTCCTTTGGTCAAAGAAAGGCAAGCATGGGAAAAATACACAATACAAAGTATTCCCTACTTTGCCTTATGTTTTAAAGAAAACTAGATCAGAAAATAAAAAGAAGAACAGATTCTGAGAGAGGAAGAGAAGAGGAAACAATAGGAGAAAGGTAAGTAGGGTGTAAACATTAAACCTAAATTGATGCATTGGGGAAAAAAATTCTGTTTAATATTAACCACATTGCAAACAAAGATCTATCAATGAGCTAACTAGTCAATTTTAGAATGGACTGCCAAGTCATGAGATAAGTTGGATCCCAGAGCCCCCCAAAAAAGTGTAAGAACTACTGATCTAGTGAGTCAATAGAAAATAAAAGAGGGTAAGTAAAAAAAAGTAGGAACTAGATGTGTGAGATATTAGTCATTAAAATATTTGAATACTTTATGTGAAACTCAACTTTTAAGAGTTACATATTTAAGATATATTATATCAGAGTCCAAAATACACTAGGGCACAGCCCTTCACGTGGTCCAAGGAAATAAAAGGCAATTTCAAAACCGCCTACAGGATGAAAATGTCAATTCACTAACAGAACAAGGTCTTCCATGTCTAAACTGGAGAAGAAACAAAAAGAAGCCAAGTAAAGAATTTGTAGATTCCATAGGGAGGAAGATGTTCGTGATGTGTTTCATATCAGAAGATGATAATTCTCCTGTGCTTCCAATCCTACATAGTAAGGTTGCCAATCTAAAATGGCAAAGGCTCAGAATTTCCAGTGGGGAACAATAAGTGGAAATATAAGACATATAGTTATATGGTCCTCTCCAAAGGCTTCAGTAGAGGAACGTCCATAGAAACGTCCTTAGAAACGGTAGCCACTCTTTACAGCGTCTATGTCTGACATCAATGTTCGGGCAAGGTAAATGCCAAAAATCTGTTTGGAATAACAAAGTATACATTATAAATACACATCAAAGCCTAATGTAGTCTTTGGCAAAAACTTTGATGTATAGATCATGTCACTGCAGTCTTAATGTTTATGCAGCCCTATCCACAACTCCACTGGCTGTGACTCACACAGCCTCCCTTTACACTTCCAATACAGAGAAATCTAATTTTTAAACTTTCTTTATTACAGAGTGTGTTTTCTATAAATTGTATGTTCCTCCGGTTATAATGGCGGTACAGGATGGATGTACTAAGTACTGGACAGGTAGCTTCTTACAAAATAAAGTTGAGAGTTAGCATGTCCCACCTCCTCATATCTTCAATGTCCTCAGAGATAGTAGTGCTTCCAGGAGTGATGGTGGAATAGGCACTGGTTAATATATAATAGGGGGCTGTTAGTCAGCCTGAAAGCTCCCTGGGTGGAGAGCTAAGTGGCGAACAGCATCATGCTGGAAGGAGTTACAGGATCATGCCTTTTAGGCATTCAGACACACACTAGAGGTGTATTTGTTGAAATAGAGAGGGTACCAGGAGGTCCTCAATCAATGCTAAGGCTCTGTAGAATGCACACCCAGGTGGCATATGCATTCCACAGTGTTCCAATTGTGCATTATCAAAATAAACTCCACATTATGGTGCCAAATCTGAATTGCAAGTCATTTAAAGCTGTGAGATCTGTCTGACTGCAAGACGACTACATTCTGGTTGGTGAACATTATAATTAATTTATTTCACACAATTGTCTAGCCCTGTCTCTCCAGAAAAAAGAACCCAAAAGACTTCCACCTCCTGTTACTATGCTTAAAGACACTTGTAATTCAAAGCATTTGACCTGTGCTGATTGCGCAACTTCACTTCCAAACAGTTTAAAAAATAAATACTGTAACTCTCGCATCTCAGTAAGTTGGAAAAGTCTATCCAGAAGGATATGCATTCTTTCCTTAACTTGTTGCAGGATAACTTGTCTCAGATTATGGACACTGCTTCTGTTTAAGAGAAGCAGATTAAAGAGATGTAGATCTTCTTCCACTTCAAAGGTCTCATGCGAGAATGCTTCAATGGCTTAAATTAATGGTTAGATCTCAACATTAGTTTGTGGTGTAAATTTAGGCACCTATTAAGAAAATTAGCTAAAAACTTGAAAAAGTGCAGAGGTGAGCTACAAAACAGAGAAGAATACAGCTATAAAGAAAAGCTGTGAATTTGAATCCTTTACACACAAAAAAAAAGGGGGGGGGGGAGATATGGTAACATGCTACATATATGTACTGGGCCAGTACAAAATGCTCCCTAGAAACCTGTTCATTAACAGGACTGTACCACATTGATCCAAAGAAAAATTTAATTTGTGGTCAAGTGGGATTACCCCCATACCCATATTGTAGCACAATAAAAATGGCTTCAAATTTGTTTTGGCCTTCTTTTGGGTCAATGCCTTAAAGGACCACTCTAGGCACCCAGACCACTTCAGCTTAATGAAGTGGTCTGGGTGCCAGGTCCAGCTAGGGTTAACCCATTTTTTTTATAAACATAGCAGTTTCAGAGAAACTGCTATGTTTATTAATGGGTTAAGCCTTCCCCCTAATCCTCTAGTGGCTGTCTCATTGACAGCCATTAGAGGCGCTTGCGTGCTTCTCACTGTGAAAATCACAGTGAGAGCACGCAAGCGTCCATAGGAAAACATTGTAAATGCTTTCCTATGCGACGGGCTGAATGCGCACGCAGCTCTTGCCGCGCGTGCGCATTCAGCCCAGGAGGAGGAACGGAGGAGGAGAGGAGGCAGAGAGCTCCCCGCCCAGCGCTGGAAAAAGGTAAGTTTTAACCCCTTTCCCGAGCCGGGCCGGGAGGGGGACCCTGAGGGTGGGGGCACCCTCAGGGCACTATAGTGCCAGGAAAACGAGTATGTTTTCCTGGCACTATAGTGGTCCTTGAAGTGGAAACCGATGCATAGCTTAACTTGATGGACTTGAGTCTTCTTTCAGCTTCTATTAATAAGAAATTATGCTTACTCTAAAAGTGCACCCATAATTAAAAGCGCTTCTGTAAAACTATTGCTTCAGATAACCACATCTAACGCATAGCTTTACATAGAAGCATCGGTGAGTATGCTTGAGAAAACATCCCTGTGTCCCCTAAGGTCTCAAACGGAACCTAGCAAACACCAGCTCGTTAGTACAAACGACCAGTATTTATGTATTTAATTTTCAATAAACAATGAAATGCCATTTAAAGAAGGATTTTACATGCATTATTATTAGATATTAGTACCAGAGATTTCTGAGAAATGTACACAGACAGAAAAAGTACTTTTCCTCTAAATGCCTCACCTCCCTTATAGGAATTAGAAAGGGGAAACAAGTTTGAGCTAAAGATTAGTAACTTTATTCAAAAGCAACACGGACATTGCAGAGGTTTATTTTTACTTTTTTCCCCTCATGGTGCGTTATTAGGCTTATTAACACCTTATGTGTTCCATTAATTGTTGAATTATTATTTTAAGTAGTGAAGCTCAGATCAACAACCACTATTTAAAATAATAAGTATTTACTAAATGATTTAGCAGAGAGAGATACACACACACAAACAAAAAGGAAGAGTAACAGTTGGACAAGAAGTAACATATATCTTACCTGTAAAATAGAAATAACCAGAAATACTCCTGCCACGATATATATATTCCGAGGCAACCATGCTTCTAGCGCAGAAATGCAGCCTTTCGTATATGTTACACCTTTGTCAGCAGTTGGCTAGAACAAATAAAAATAAAACCATTAATTTGTACACCAGCACTTTTTATTCCATGAATATATGATAGGGTTAATTGGAAAAAGGAAAAGCAAAAAATAAGGCTGCGCCAGGAGAATAGTAAAAGCAAGTCCAAATTAAAAAATGTTCTAATAGAAGAGTCCCAGTAATGGATGATGTCTTAACTTGTATGATGTCTTCTTTAACAATGATTGTCCGTCTCACGATATGGAAGACACAATGAGAAAAAGCCAATTGTGCAGAGTGTATAGATTTGTAATTATAAAATAAAATATAAATTACACACTCACATTTCCATGAGCTAGAACCAGCTCTAGTATGATGGGCACACGGCGGATAACCCTCCGCTTATGGGGGTGCTTGTCCTCTTGGAGAGTCCTGGTGTTCAATTCTCAAGGAAGGAAAAAAATAAAAACAGCCAATAGTGCTCTCTGGTGAGGTAGTAATTAAAAAGAATAAAAATAAATAAAATATACTCACAAGTAGAGTGCAGGTAAATCTGCACTCAATTTTTCGCGTGGGTGGTATGATCCCCACCTTAGGATATGCCAGGAACAGTGTATAAAATTAGTAATAAAAATAGATAATAGATGATAAATATAAAATTATTTATTAGTATAATATGTTTAAGACCAATAACGCGTTTCGCCAAAAGGCTTTATCAAATTGGGATAGTATAAGTACCTGGCACATAAGGAGTTTATATAGCTAATACAAACATTTAAAATTGGCGCCAAAAAATGAACAGCCAATCAGAGTAATACAAAATGTGAATAGAAAGTATACATTCAAAAGTTAGAAAATAATATACAATATTGATATATATAGACATAAGATATTATATATATAAAAATAAGATAAAAACGAGCATTATTTAATGTAAAAAGAAGTGTGGGATAAGTATTTCCACATTCGTGCGTGTCACGTGACCCACACTGCACTATGGGATGTGTAGTGCCGGGTCACGTGACCGCTGATCTGCATACAGTCCGTGCGGCCAGAGCTGGAGGAAACGGCACGCACAGGACACAGATGCGGCAAGGCGGGTTTAGGCTCTGTCACGTGACCCGCGACGGCATATTACAGCGGGCCACGTGACTAGAGACAAAATAATGCTGGGAAATGTAGTTCATACATATTAAGCCGAAAACAGCAACAAATAAGAGGAAAAATAGCTTGCATGCTTATAAAATATAGAAGTTGGATATATATATGGATGGAACATTAAATTAAATTAAGTAAAATATTTATAGAATCAATATAATCTGTACACTATAAATTACCTAATTAATACAAATTAATAAAATTAATAGCTAAAAGCTGTAAGATGAATGAAAAAGCATACAATAATAAATCCATGTTAATAATGATAATAATAACAGTACATAAAAATAAAAAGTTAAAATTTAAAGGTACAGAGTTATAAAAGTGCTAAAAGGTTATTATAAAAAATTAAATAAATCAAAATCCACATTAAGACCTTGGGGTGTAAGGGTTTGTAAGTTATATACCCATTCCATCTCTGATCTACCAAGAATATTTTTTATGTTGCCACCTCTCCACGGCACTTGGCATTTCTGAATTCCTAAGCATTTGAGAAATTTAGGATCTTGGTTGTGGTTAATAAAGTGCTTAGATACAGAGTGGTTTAGGTACCCATTTCTAATGTTCCTACAGTGTTCTGCTAGTCTTATCTTAAGACACCTGGTGGTCATACCCACATATTGGAGGCCACAAGGGCATTCCAATAGGTAGATAACATTGGTAGTATTACAACCGATGAAGTCTCTTATAGTATAACTTTTATTTGTTTGGTTGGACTTGAAATTAGTAGTTTTTGATTTAGTTGTTAGATCAGTGTTTTTACATACGGTGCAACGTTTACATTTATAAAAGCCTTTTGCACCATCTAAAAACGTATGATGAGTATTTTTGGTTGCTTTAGTGTAATTGTTAGTTAAAATGGATCTAAAATTCGGTGCCCCTCTAAAAACAATTTTTGGCTGTACAGGTAAAATTTCTTTAAGCAGATCATCTTGTCTTAAGAGATGCCAATGTTTTTTAATAGTTTTTTTAATAAAACCACTTTTATTATTATAGTTAAAAATTATAGGGAGAGTGGGAGTTTTTAAATTATTCTTGTATGTTAAAAGGCTTTCTCTAGGTTTGTTTCTAACTGTGTCTATGGTATTATCAAGAAGAGTACAGGAATAATTCTTTTCAATTAATTGTTTTTTTAAAAGCAGTGATTGTTCGTTAAAATCATTTATTTGAGAGCAATTGCGCCGTATTCTTAAAAATTGGCTTTTTGGAGCACTTTCAAGCCATGGTTTATAGTGGCAGCTAGTTTGATCAATTGCAGTGTTGGTACATACTTTCTTAAAAAATGTTTTTGTATGTATCTTGCCATCTTGGAAAATATTTAAGTCTAAAAAATTAATTGAGTTAGTACTATATTCGCAAGTCAGAGTAATGCCTCTATTATTAGAATTGAGGTGTGATATAAAAGTATTCAGACAATCTTCTGGGCCCTTCCATATAAAAAACAAGTCATCAATGTATCTAAAATAGGAGACTAGATTATGCTCCCAGGCATGCCGTCCCCAAATGGCGGATGTTTCCCAATCCGCCATAAAGAGGTTGGCATAGCTGGGAGCAAACCTAGTCCCCATAGCTGTCCCTCTTTTTTGGAGATAAAAAGAATCATAAAACCAAAAATAATTATTGTTTAAAATAATATTAATACCATCTACAATAAAATCAATTTGGGCAGTTGGAATATTATTTTCATTGGATAGAATGGTTTTGACTGCATTATATCCAAGTTGGTGTGGAATGATAGTATACAGGGACGTGACATCACAAGAGACAAGTATAAAATCTGACTTCCATTCAAATCCGTTTAAAAATCTCAATAATGACAGAGTCCTTTAGATAGGACCTCATTCGTTTAACTGACGGTTGAAGTAGGATGTCAATATACTGAGATAAGTTGCACAAAGGGGAGTTTATCCCAGATACTATCGGTCTCCCTGGGGGGTGTTTGGCATCTTTATGTATTTTAGGTAAAAAATAGATAACCGGAATTTTAGGGTTCTTAACAAATAAATAATCAAATTCTTTTTTATTCAAAATATTATCGTTTAAACCTTTTTGTAAAAAAGTAATTAGTTTCTGTTGTATATTGGAGGTAGGATCTTTGTTTAATTTTTCATATACATCAATATCATTTAGTTGATTGTAAGCTTCTTTGACGTACATATCAGTAGACTGTATAACAAGACCTCCACCCTTATCGGCCGGTTTAATCACTATATCTTTATCCTCTTGGAGTTGTTTAATAGCTGTTTTTTCTGAAATGTTTAAATTTTGGGGATCGTATTTATTAAATTTAATTTTGTTGAGATCTTTCAGAACAGATTTCTCAAACATCACCAATGGGGCTGATTTGAAATGGTATGGGTAAAATGTAGATTTCGGTTTAAGGTTTGTATTGATAAAAGAAGATTGATCAATAGATGTAGAGGAGCAAGGAAGAGAAGGGTTAGTTTCTGAGGTTTGTGCTGAAAAAAATCTTTTTAGTGTGGCCTTCCCAGCATTATTTTGTCTCTAGTCACGTGGCCCGCTGTAATATGCCGTCGCGGGTCACGTGACAGAGCCTAAACCCGCCTTGCCGCATCTGTGTCCTGTGCGTGCCGTTTCCTCCAGCTCTGGCCGCACGGACTGTATGCAGATCAGCGGTCACGTGACCTGGCACTACACATCCCATAGTGCAGTGCGGGTCACGTGACACGCACGAATGTGGAAATACTTATCCCACACTTCTTTTTACATTAAATAATGCTCGTTTTTATCTTATTTTTATATATATAATATCTTATGTCTATATATATCAATATTGTATATTATTTTCTAACTTTTGAATGTATACTTTCTATTCACATTTTGTATTACTCTGATTGGCTGTTCATTTTTTGGCGCCAATTTTAAATGTTTGTATTAGCTATATAAACTCCTTATGTGCCAGGTACTTATACTATCCCAATTTGATAAAGCCTTTTGGCGAAACGCGTTATTGGTCTTAAACATATTATACTAATAAATAATTTTATATTTATCATCTATTATCTATTTTTATTACTAATTTTATACACTGTTCCTGGCATATCCTAAGGTGGGGATCATACCACCCACGCGAAAAATTGAGTGCAGATTTACCTGCACTCTACTTGTGAGTATATTTTATTTATTTTTATTCTTTTTAATTACTACCTCACCAGAGAGCACTATTGGCTGTTTTTATTTTTTTCCTTCCTTGAGAATTGAACACCAGGACTCTCCAAGAGGACAAGCACCCCCATAAGCGGAGGGTTATCCGCCGTGTGCCCATCATACTAGAGCTGGTTCTAGCTCATGGAAATGTGAGTGTGTAATTTATATTTTATTTTATAATTACAAATCTATACACTCTGCACAATTGGCTTTTTCTCATTGTGTCTTCCATATCGTGAGACGGACAATCATTGTTAAAGAAGACATCATACAAGTTAAGACATCATCCATTACTGGGACTCTTCTATTAGAACATTTTTTAATTTGGACTTGCTTTTACTATTCTCCTGGCGCAGCCTTATTTTTTGCTTTTCCTTGTGTATACTATAGAGGGTTAGAGGGTGACCCCCTATAAGGTTGCTGCCTTTATTTATATTTTTTATTATTAGCGCTAACCTTTTTATCTTTGTTTAATTGGAAAAAGACAGTCTGCGGCTGAATTCTGACTATCCCTTGTAAAAAAAAAAATATATATATATACACGTCTAAACTGTTCTCATGTTTAGACACCTACATACCATACACTCTGAGGAATTCTAGATAATTTTGCAATAACAGATTAAATAAAATGAAAAGCTACATAGCCATGTTAGTGGTTCTGTTGCTCTGGATAAACATATAGGAAGCATTTCAGTAACTAGTAAATTGAACATTCCAAATATTTTTATTGAGCACATAATACTTTAAACTTATTTGATCTATTGGAAAAGTGTGATACAATTGACTAACAAAACACAGACAAGCCACTTCCCACCCTATACAACACCAAGAAGTATGCCAAAAATGAACGCAGTACAAAATAAGGGAGGGACCGACTCTCAAACTATAGAAAATTAATTTACGGTGAATAAGATTTCATTTTTCCATAAGCACTGGTACCAGTGGTACTGATGAGATCTAATAAGTTTAGTCATGTTTTGATAAAGTATGCAAATAATTCCATGTTGCAGCAGAACATTTTTTTTTTCTGGAATGGCTTGGATCTGGCAGCCCAGGATATGTAAATAGCTTTTGCAGAATAAGCAGAGAAGGGAAGGTAGAGCGAGCAGTCAGGCTTTACGTATGAAACCAAATTGCAGTTCTTACTGAGGTCCAAAGCAAAGAATCCAGAGAGGGGCAAAGGAAAGGCATGGTCAACACAAGTCCAATGTTTCGGGAGTCCAGCAAAGTTTCGGATGTGGTTAGACAATCCAAAAGTCAAATATCCAGATAAGCAAGTCAAAAAGTAGCTTTGATTTCACTTTGAACAGCACAGAACAACTCAGCAATAAAAAGCTTTCATTCTGTGCGTAAATAGGGTGCTCATCTGTAGTCATGCCCCTTCTGACACACAACAATAAAGCCTCTGTACTACTGAGGATATATGGGAGCTTGGTGTTGCCAGGGGAGGGAACCGTATGCTTGGCCATTCTCACTAGCTGTTCTGCTGCTTGTTCCGAACATGCAAATCTTCCTCGCGTCTTGTGTTGCATGGGATACATGATTAGGGTCAGAAGTTGCAGCCTGCACCTGGTGGACAGATGGCCGCAGCCCTGAGATGCTGGCTGTGTAGCAAGGGAACATGGGTAATTCATGAGACAAACTACTAATTTTGCTTTTTACCCTCCTGCCAAATCAAGATCTGGAAGCAGTCTTCCTTCCTTTTATTTTGACTTTGAAAACAGAAAAACAAATGTTCTGATGACAGAAAGGACATTAATCATTGAATGTATTTTTTTAAGCACCAGGATATTTCAAAGCAATTGTATTTTATCAAGATGATTTCTTAGATTGGTACATATGATGGAAGTACTATTTCTTAATTAAGGTTCTTAACTGAAGGAACACTAGGTCAAAAATACAAAAGTAATAGGAGAACAAACTTAATTGAATGGAATATTTTATTGGGACATTTCCATGATGGTGCCTCGAATTTACAAATTTATTTTCTTTTATTATTAAAAAGATTATCAGCACTACTGTGTGCTGATAATGCACTAATGGCAGATATCTGTACTTATGGAATTTAGATAGAGACCTTTCGTGAAGCCGGAATTTAAGAACTGTAGAATAGAAGGAATAGGTGCAGAGAGAAGGTTAACTTTGTATGACTTGCACCATACAGAAAACACCTTCTAAATTCTTTGATGAATCCTTCTAGTAGAAGATTTTTCAGACTGTAGTAAAATGGAAAAAAATATTTATCTATGCATTTTGCAGCCAGTATATCTAATTTAGAATCCATGCGGTGAATTCAAACATCTTCAACACCTTGCTTGAAGTTGTGACCCTTTTGCACTTAATGCTGCAATGTAAAACAAATCAGTTCCAGTGAACTGCTATGTTTACATTGCAGCTCTAAGTCTGTCCTCTGTGGCTGTCTAACAGACAGCGACTAGAGGGCTTCTTGAATCCAAACCAAGGTTTAGTCGGAGTTATGACACTGGACATCCTCATGGACCTCCAGCATCAAATTCTCCCCATAGAAAAAAAAAATGCTTTCCTATGAGGAGGTCTAATGCGCACGTATGGCCATTGCTGCTTATGTGCATTAGGTCTCCCCTGAGCGTGGGTGGAGTGCTGGATTCAGTTAAGTAGCTGACGGGATTTTAACCCCTTCAGTGACATGGGATGGGGGCACTCCAGGATTCTCTAGTGCCAGAAAAACTTTTTTTACGGGCACTGGAGAGTCCCTTTAAGTTAGTTTTTGTCCATTTAACCACAGAATTATTACGGTCATGTATCCCTGGATCTTCATAGCCATAAAAATAGAAATCCTAGAATTTTTTTAAAAAGGAAAGATACTGCATACTGGAGCTTCATTCTTCTTTCTAAGAAATAACTTCAAGCAATCGGTGTCTGTTAGAAGACCTAAACTATTGGATGTTCTTTGTGGAAGATAGAGATTTTTTTTTTCCTAATTGAGATGTTTTTCTAGAATGGTAATATACTTTTTCAGAAGATTTTTTTGTTCTTCTGCTGAAGAGGCCTTTATTAACCAATTGCCAATTTTAAATATAAGATGGGTCTTGCTGAGCCTTTTTTTTTTTCAAATTTATTTTACCAAAAAAGCCTGCATTATGTTTCTGACCACCAGTCTCTTTCTGGAACTGGATCTATGACTAGTTTTGACAGGAGTTTCATAGTTGCTTTGTAAAGCTTTGCTTCAAGGAAGTCTGCATTTACATCTAGAAAAAAAATATATATTCTTGTAAGAGAGATGTCTAAAAACTCTATACTCTTGAAATTGTTTTCTTGACCCATGAATCTGAGAAAGATCTTATCCAGTCTTATAGAAAGATGTTTGTGGTTGCCCCTAACAGATGTGCCGGGGTCAGAATTTTTTTTTTCTCAACACCAGGTCTGCTTGTCTCTGGTTCCTCTGTCTCCATAATCCTGCTGGTACGATCTAAATCGAGGCTGAACAAAAAAAAGAAGACTTGTAGCTGTCACCTATGAATAAACAAGGTATTTTTCCATTTCCCTTTTATTCTGGGAGAGTCTTCTTACCTCCAGCAATCTGTCTGTTTGATAAGGTTTTCCAAAGCTTTGCCGAATAATAGTGGATCTTCAAAATGGAAAGTTACAGAGAGAATCCCTAGAAGCCAAATCTGCTGATCATGATTTTAGCTATACTACTAGGCGAGGTACAGTTGATCACGCCAGAGACATTGAGGCTAACCTTCCAACAAGGCATCGCAAATTAAAATCATTAGCTTAACAATTTTTTTTTTTTTTTAAATCAATTTAACTGGATCAGCATTAGACTCCTTTTTAAAGGAATCCTATAATTCTGGTAACCAAACTCTAGTCACAGATTAAGCAGCAATAAAAGCTTTGCTCTTGAGGCTGCAATGAAATAAGACCTGGAGAGCGATGTTTTAATTCATTTAGCCATGGGATCTTTTAGGTTAACAGAATCCCTTGTTGGATTAGTGGGTTTATAATAAACTTGAGCTAAAGCCACAATGACTTAAGGAATTTTGACAATTTTTGTCCCTTTTCAGATAGTTGAAATACACATCTAAATCTTTTAGACCAGGGGTATCCAAACTTTTTTTCAAAGAGGGCCACATTTGATGAAGTGAACATACGTGAGGGCCAACCATTTTGCCTGACATTCTTTGAACCATTAACCTCTTAAGGACACGACGGAAATATTCCATCACGATTCCCTTTTATTCCAGAAGTTGTGTCCTTAAGGGGTTAAAATTAAATGCAAATTAACTATTTTATGCAAAGTATATTGCAAACGGCATACTTTTCATTTCATCTCTTTATTCTGTCCACTGCACGTCCGCCTGTGTTCTCGCGATCTCTTGGCCCCCAGTGAATCCCTGACCGCTGCGTTCAAAGATCCAGAGATACCAGGGGTCCTGAGCGGCGCTCCAGGATTCACTGGGGGCCACAACAGATAGATTTACCAAATTAACTGTGGGGTCGTATTAAACCGGAACACTGGCCGGACTTTGGACATGACTGTTTTAGACAATAGTGGTTTATTGTCAGGAATTTTTCACTCTTTTGCGATAACTTGTTTCACAGTAAAATGGAAAGGAAATGCTTGAGATTTTATAGGTTTTTTTTTTCCCCTTTCTTCTGGATGAGACACCTAAAGTGACTTATTTAATAAGATAGCAAAAGAAAATGTTCTTTACAGTAAGAACTATAAAGATGTGGAATTCATTGCCTGAAGAGGTGATTTTATAAGAGTCTACACAGATGTTTAAACAGCAATTGGATAAATACTTGCAAAAACATCATATTCAGGTCCTAGCAGGGGACATTACATATAGTGTTTCTTTACATACAGAGGTTGGGAGATGCATGTATGGGGAGGGAGTGCCTGAGCTATATTGGCTATATTTGGTTAATCTATTGTATATTGTACCGGTCCTGAGGAAAGGCAACTACCCATCATTTATTTACGGTCATCATTGCTTCCTACTTTGTTTTTTTAGATAAATAACACTGATGGCAGGGAGACCAGAGAGACCGTGTACACACAAGGATGCAGGGGAATTAATGAATTAATGTTAGGATGGTAAAACAAGGAAAGAAACTACAGGTGGGGAAGAAAATGCATATGAGGAATTGAGGAGATAAGATAAATGAGAACATATCAACACAAAAATAAGTATTTTTAAAAAAAAACCCACAAAAGCAAATGTGTTAGGAAAAAGCTCCAACGTAGCACAAAATGAATAATAGGAAAATCAAAGCACAAAGATAAAAGCAGAAAGGTAAATGTACAGCGCTATGGAATCTGATGGCGCTATATAAATAATAAAATAACAATAATAAAAAAGATATAAAGGTGACAGGATGTTTACACATCCATATAAATAGGAACAGAAGGATATGAAGTACTATTCATAATGTCTAATGACTAATTTCGGATGACAAACATGCTGGTCAGTCCATGTGTTTGCCAACTATATGCACTCATATCACTTCATTCTAGCTCCCACCCATGTATGATAATGATGGACTGAAAGCAATTGATGAGGATGTGCCTAGACCTCTCAGTCTATTATTGAGATCCAAGGCTGGGTGGATTCACAATTGATAATGCAGTTGTGTAAATTTCACATATTCGATGCAGCTGTAGAGGGGTTGGGCTATAGGTGTGATATAGAGACTTTTTTTTTTTTTTATGAACCACATCAAAAGGGTAAAAGGCACTCACAGATTTATAATAATATAACAATTACAAAAAGCTCTAGTAGTTTTAGTGTGAAATGCCTCTGTAATGATTAGTGCCATCTTGTCATTGATCAGAGAGATCATGCTATGAGAACAGAATGTATTTAAAAAAAAATATGTATATTAGTTTTATATCAGAACAAGGCTCTTAAATATTGAAAAAAACTAAAATGAAAAAAAAAAAATTACCTTCTTACGTGCATCGTATCCACATTGTGTGTTTACAACAGTTTGCTGTAAAAGGAAATAAGGAATTATTTTCACACACAAAAATATCCAATACTAATGTGTTACTAAAATATAGTATAATTAAACAAAAGGTTTTGTGCTTATATTTTAAAAAGGAGACTTTGAAATACATCTGAATGCTGGTATTTTATAGGACTCTATATGCGTCTAACATCTTACTTCGTTGCATGTATTTTCCCATGCCCTCTTATGGACTATAGTTTCCAACACTCATAGCAGATTACTCAGTGCCTTCAGGAACCTCTTTCAGAAATGTTGTTTTTCTTTTAAAACCATCTATATAAACCCAGTTTAATGCAGGTTTCATCCTTTGAAAAAGATGTACTTTAACTTTGTGTGTGCATTTGTTTTCCATTTGCTGTAAATAACCTTGTGTGCTGAAGGATAACACTCCAAGACTGTGATAGCCGGTGGCCTTACTGAGGATCAGAGACGGCAGCCAAAAAGTAAACGGACTTTTCAGAAAAGTAAAACTCACATCAGAAGTTTCTAGGCAAACCTTTTCACCTCTTTTTCGAGAATCAAAATCGAAATACAAAGATCGTACTCACAGCTGGGTCAGCAATACAGCAGGAAAATGGAACTCCACACCTCTCCCGGCTAGGATTGTCAGCAGTGCAATTAAAGTATTGGTTGAGATCCCAGTCATTGGGGCCCTGAGCACCACAGCAATGATTCTGCGAGACAAGCATAAGCACTTATATAAGTCATAGTTTATATAGTTGGGGCATATTTCAATTATCCTGGATATTACAAGGTTAAACAGATGCACACATATAAAAACAAAACAAATCAAAAAAAGGAGTTTACCGCTTTCTGCAGGGAGTCTACGAGGTTCTGCAGGTCAATATCATCCCGGTACGATTTGATGTTATTTTCAAAAAATTCCTTGGCCTTATCTCTCACCCAGTCTTGGAAGAGGAATGCCAAGACTGCTACTGCTAGTTCCATGAAAAAGATCATGACAATTGCACCACAAAACTGAGAAAAGGTTAAAGAAAATGAAATATTGTTTAATCCATGTATATGGAAACAGTATACATCACTTTTCCTGCCAAGGGAGAGAAAAAACTGGACCGCCCCCCCCCCATCCCCCCAAAAAACCGAACATGCTTAAAACCTGCCTTACAGAACATGTTAACCAACATACAAACTTTCTTGGTCTCAAAATACTCAACATGTCAAGTCCACATGTGTTCAGGGCTCTTACAATTTAATAGGTTAGGTTAAATGTTATATTAACCAATAGTCATTCCTAGTTTGCGTTTTAAGTAGTAACCAAAACGGAAAGCATCCTTTCCGTCACATGACTGCTATGTAAACCAATGGAGTGCATCCTTTCAATCACCATTCTAAAAATCATCATACTTTTACAGACTAAAACTGGATAAATCTGACTCAATCAAGACACTATATATTTTGAAGAGATTACTGATAACGGACGAAACAAGCATTCACGCCCAGTTATATGTGCAGCATTTGCACGTAAGTGCTTTTAGAAACATACATTTTATTCTATTCCAATTGAATGCATTTTATTTACAGAATCATACTATATACATGTCTTCTTCAATCTTACACCACATGGCACTTCCATCATTGCAACTGCAGAGAGGTCTGCGGCGAGGCGAAATTGCAATCTGATCCAGGCTACAGTATTTCCAGACACTGAATTTGATATTCCCTATCTACCAAGTGCCTACAAGTCTGGAAAGATGACGTGGCAAGAAACGTCTTAAGGAGAGCAGCCTGCTTAGGGAAGTTAATACTTGCTGTGTTTTCACTGTACATTTTGTGTTAACATTTGACTTTTTTGCCATAGGTTAACTGTTACACTTATAAGTGATCTGTCCCCTCAGTGCTGCTACTTTTGTTCCCTATGCACCGCCCTATACAAAATTATTCCTAGGAGTGTCTTGTGTTATCCTCTGTAAAGTCTCCTTCGGTCTACTTCAATGGAGGTGCCTGAGCTCCATCATTAAGGGATTGACAGTTCCTTTTGGACAAAGCAGCTACACAAAAACTATTAACACCAAAAAAGTTCTGACTACAAGTCAAGAGCAAAGCCTATGCCTCATTATCCCAAGGCTTTATTGTTCCCTTTTTAATTGGCCAATCTTGTTGATATTCATGCTCGTTGTTTTTCATACTTGTTCTGCTTGTACTCATGAGTTTTGCTTTATCACTTTATGGTTATTCTGGTGCTATTAACACCGCCTAAAATCAGCGTTGTACGACTGTGTATGCTACAATTTTCATTGTACTTGCCATCTCTAAATAAAGATTTACAAAAAAACAAAAAGGTCTAAAATATTTGCCTTTTTTATTTGAAAACTTTCAGCTACCTCTCCTTTATTTTGCAGCAGCATCGGGGTAAATATGGTTTAGCCCTGACCTAGCAATATCCCAACAAACTATAAGCAAGGACCTAGCCCCATCACGGTCTAAATGATTCCATTATAATGCCACATGAGGTCTGGAATGATTACAGCATTCTCTAGCAGCAAGCATTCATTGTGTCCCACACCCATCTGGCAGTCCTGTCTAATTAGATCTATTATGTCTTAGTCTAGCCCTGTAAATTGTATAACACTGCAGAATATCTTTGCACTTCTGATAAGTGCATGCCGTACAATGAATGTTTGTTAATCTTTAATACTGAAACATGATAGTCTGGATAACTCTAAATACAATAGGTATAATTTACTCACGAATTTCAGGAGGCAGATATTTTCTCTAAGTGCACCGACACATCCAGCAAAACCTAACGTGAACATGACGACACCAACCACGAGAACCAGCCACACTGGGTCAAACCCATGAAGCCGTGTCACTTTAGTAATATCCGACAATGTCCCCTAAGAAGAAAAAAATTTGAAAAAGTAAAATAACATACAGCACAAAAAATAAGCTGAAAATTAAGCTCTATTTCTAACAGTCAGAAATGCAAGACAGCTTCTTTACTATAGTCTTACAAAAAGGTCTTTCAATGTATTGAGGATATTTTGAAAGTTATATCTGATATTCAATTTTCAAAGCATTTTCAAGATTGCAGAAAACACAAGCCTACCTATCTTCTATATTGCGATTTGCTTCTTTGTGTGTCCCCCTCCACCCCTATACCATTAAAACGTGAAATGTCACTTCACATGATTTTTAATATTATACTTACTGACCCCTTTACTAAACAGCAATGAATTTATGAGGTGTGAAAAATTAAAATGTAAAAATCAACAGCTTTTTAACTTGATAAAGTGTGCATGCCTTCTTGGTTCCCTGTTATAAGCCTTGTCCTGCATACCTGTTAGTCAGCATAGAGAAAGCATACAAAGAAGAGAATTAAAAATTAAAGGACCACTATAGTGCCAGGAAAACACACTCGGGCTGGATGGAGAGGAAGGGGTTAAACTTACCTCTTTCTCCAGTGCCGGGCGGGGAGCTCTCCTCCTCCTCCTCTTTGGCTGAATGCGCATGCGCGGCAAGAACTGCGCGCGCATTCAGCCAGTCTCATAGGAAAGCATTTGTAATGCTTTCCTATGGACGCTGGCGTCTTCTCACTGTGAAAATCACAGTGAGAAGCACGCAAGCGCCTCTAGCGGCTGTCAAGAGACAGCCACTAGAGGCTGGATTAACCCTAACATAAACATAGCAGTTACTCTGAAACTGCTATGTTTATAGAAAAAAGGGTTAACCCTAGCTGGAGCTGGCACCCTATAGTGGTCCTTTAAACAATGTTTCTATTTATCCTCTTCATTTGCAATGTTTTAATGTTCGCCTTGTCTGAACTGGATTATGATGTCATTTGCTAAATCGTTAAAATAAATTTAAAATGAAGTGGATGGAGCATGTAATGTTGTTATGTTAAAATAAGCATGTCTGCCATCATTGTTTAAATTTAAATCTGGTGCTGATCGATTTAACTGGCACAAAATAAATCTGAGTCGCCCACTAGAATTATTCCTGTGGTGCGAGGGTAAGAGTGGCCTCTAGGGCAGCCGTCATGGCGGACCGCTGCGGACAGTCTTTGTTATCCTCCACGGCACTGTGTATGTCGGGAAGAGGGATGAAAATTGGAAGTGACATCACATCCCTGTTCTCTCCTCACACATACAGTGTGAAAAAGCATCCAAGGTATGCTGAATAGGGGTTAGTGGAAAGACTGAAGGGGTGGGGTGGGGGCGGGGACAAAAGAAGAAACGGTCAGCAGCAGTACCCAGAGCAGATTGAACTTTAACCCAGGTATCACGGATGGAAGCCAGACGATCATCCAAAGGAGGAATAGCCGTATCAGAAAAAACAGCCGGTAGGACAGTAGGATGCCGACCATTATTAACAAAAAATGGACTATGCCCAGAGGAGTCATGGTCAGCATTGTTCCTAGCAAACTCGGCCCATGGTAGTAATTCGGACCAATTGTCTTAAGTGCTAATAATGAAACAACGCAAATATAATTCCAAGGACTGGTTAGCTCTCTCAGCTGTACCATTGGTCTGGGGGTGGTAAGAAGATGAAAAAGACCATTCAATCCCTAATTGTTTATTGAAGGCCCTCCAAAACCGGGACACAAACTGAGAACCTCTAGCAGATACTATATTGTGAGGAATGCCATGCAGACGGACAATTTCTCGTATGAAGATTAGTACCAGGTCCTGAGATGATGGCAATTTCTTGAGTGGAATAAAATGAGCCATTTTAGAAAAACGGTCCACAATCATGAGAATAGTGGTATAACCATTAGAACTAGGAAGTTCAACAATGAAGTCCATGGACAAGTGGGACCATGGGACCTCAGGAATAGGAAGAGGTTGCAACAAACCACAAGTGAGTTTATGAGTTACTTTGGAAACCGCACAAACAGAACAAGCCTGCACATACTCCTTAACATCCTTCCTGAGGGAATCCCACCAGAAAGACCGCATGATAGCAGAAATGTATTTATTAATACATGGTGACCAGCAGACACATTGTTGTGAAACACCTTCATGATATTAACCCTTTCCCCCAATGGAACAAACAATTTGTCCTGAGGTTTAATGCAGGGCGCCTGAGACTGAGCCTCCATGATGGAGCCAAGCAGTGGAGAGGACAATGAAAGGACAGTGGACGCAAGAATACATTCCGGGGGAATGATATGGGACGTTTCTTGCTCTAGTATATTACAAACTGAGTGACCTTCTAGGGAAAAGAGGTCAGGTTACTCATATGACACACACACCTCAGACAAAAGAAAGAAGAAAAAAGGAGAACAATTATATACAAGTTGGAAATGATTAAATGATCGCACCATACAGAATTGTATGTTACAAAAATGTAACAAGATGTCAATGTTGCAATTGTATCTTGTTTGTACAGGGGGAGAATTGTATCGTTTATCAGATAGGAAACAAAACAGTAAGCTGCAGATAGTAAAATTCCCTACTCTGTTGTGCCTTCAAGGGCACCCCTTAACAAAATCTAATACCCTCCTCCCTTTCTCTTGTGAATATCTAGTCGTCTTAGCAAGATAGCTGTAAGTCCATCTCGTGGGACTAGGTAAGTAATAAAGAAAGTAAAGAAATAATAAATAAAATCAAATAAATAAATGAAGAGTATAGCTGGTAAGGTTAAGTTAATCTTAAAGCATGTCGTCCCATATTTGATAGACCAGCATGATACTCTATGTATGTCCCAACTTGACCTTACCAGCTATACTCTTCATTTATTTATTTGATTTTTTAATTTATTATTTCTTTACTTACTTTCTTTATTACTTACCTAGTCCCACGAGATTGACTTACAGCTATCTTGCTTTTGAACAAAGTTTGCATAACTTGTTTAATGTGATCGTGGTGAGACTGAATGTCAGAAGAATAAATAAGGATCCTCTCCAAGGATCATCCAGATAGACCAAGACAAACGAGTAAATGTGATCCCTGAGTACATCGCTAATGAAATCTTGGAAAACCGCTGGAGCGTTGCACAACCCAAATGGCATCACTAGATATTCATAGTGTCCACTTCTGGTATTAAATGCAGTCTTCCACTCGTGGTTTTCCTTGATTCTCACTAAATTGTAAGCGCTTCTAAGGTCAAGCTTAGTAAACACTTTAGCACCCTGGAGTCTGTCAAATAATTCAGCAATAAGAGGAATTGAGTAGGCATTCTTAATGGTGAATTTGTTCAATGCCCTGTAATCGATACATGGGCACAACTCACCATCCTTTTTAGATACAAAAAAGAATCCTGCACCAGCAGGCAAGGATGATTTTCGTATATGGCCTTTATTCATTGAATCCTTAATATATTCCTCCATTACACTACTCTCCTGAGGTGACAGAGCATAGACTGCTCCCTTAGGTGGCATAGCACCTGGTAGTAAGTTAATGGAACAGTCATATGGTCTATGAGGAGGTAGAGGATTAGACTGAGTCTTGCTGAATACTTCTTTAATGTCTTGGTATTGTATAGGGATCTCTGGATTTTGATGTGTACTGGTGGGTAATTCAATAGTGCCCACTCGTTTGGTGACATGCAATATACACCTTTCATTACACTCCTTACCCCATTCTAATATTTCCCCCATTAGCCCAGTCAATGCGAGGGTTTATGCTTGCTAAGCCATGGGAATCCTAATATGATAGGACAAGAAGGAGATGCAATCACCTGAAATGTAATCTCTTCCTTATGTAAGGCACCAATGGAAATATTAATGGGTAAGGTTTCATGTGTTATCAATGGTTGTGAGAGCGGTCTCCCATCAATAGCTTCAACAGCTAGGGGTGATAGTCTCTCCTTGATAGGTATAGTATTATCCTTGACAAATTGGACATCAATGAAATTTCCAGCAGCCCCTGAGTCCATCAGTGCTGTGCATGAAAAGTTATTTTGGTCAAGAATAAATCGAAATATCAATGAGAAGTCTATATTTATTTTTTTCAGAGGACGTCTCCATTATACCCAAGACCTGTCTCCTTAAGGCAGCTTAGGCGCGGTAGTTTCTTTGGACGAATGGGACAATTGTCTCTCATATGTCCATTACTACCGCAGTATAAATATAGACCTTCGTTTCTCCTATATTGTTTCTCGGCCTCTGACAGTCTAGTGACCCCCAATTGGATGGGTTCAGGTTCGGACTGTATATGAAGGTCAGGAACAGAGGGATGACTATGTTAAAGACATAGTCATACATCTGGTCTTATTTCTAGTATTCTCTCTGGTACTTAGTCTATTATCAATTTGCAGAACACATTTTTTCAACCAAAAAGATGCATTTGTGGGCGGTAGGTAGAAAAGGGTTGACTACCACTGGCCTAGATAGTATCTTCCTAATCTATAAAAATTCTTTGTATTTAACCAATTTTAATGATTTTTTTACTTCAGTGAGTGTTTTCCCCCTATGTGGGATCTAATAAGGCAGTACCATGTTAACGAATAAACATTTCTTCTTAACATTTATCCCGAATATTGTTCAATTGGTAATATTCAAATTCTGTGAGTAATTGTATCGGTTTTAGGCCTTTTCGGAAGGCTTGTTACGATTTTCTTTCTTCTGATATTAATCTGGGGTTACCCCCCTTTAATTACTGCGCAACCAATACGGGCTCAACAAGGGTTTTCTCTCACTGAGGTAGGGTTTTTTTGTTAGATCTCAAATATCTTGCGAACCCGAGTCCATGGTATTGTGTCGCTTCTGAGAACGTTTTCCCACAGTGAGGCAGATATGAGTACGCTTTTGTGGTCGGTTTTTATGAAATATTAATGTTTAACAACAAATCGTAGGGTCAACAAGCACTGTTTTAAAGTTTGATCTTTTGCGTGCAAACAGTTTAACATTATATTTGTATGAGACCTATACGAATGTCTCTCATGAAGGCCTGCGAGCCAAACTTTCTTGTCAAATTCCTTTCAATAAAAACGAAAGATTCAAAAAAAAAAAAATAATTTTGTAAAAAATTGTAGTCATGCATCAAAAAAATAAAAATAAAACATTGTTACATGATTTCATGCAGTAAGACTATTATGAGGTCTCATTAATAGTCTGTAAGAAAAAGATACCATTTCATGACTTAACAGACAAAACTCAACACAGTCCTTACCTTTTCACTCCATGCCCAAAGTCCTATTCCCAGAAGAACCATACCAGATAACTGTTGAGAGGACAAAAGTCAAACATTAGTCTGCTTTGTAGTCAATATGTGTTGATAAACATGGGTCAAAGAGAGCAGAATCTTCAGGAACAATTGGGAATTACTCTATATGGTAGTGGGTGCCTGTAGCCTCATTGAATCTATAGTTGATAAACGTCCAGGGTTTGTGATTTCTTTCATGGATAATGCTGGTGCTTGTTATGGTGAGCTTGAGCAATCAGGTTTTTTTGTGTGCAAATAATGAATATATTTCTGACAGTTTTCAAGCTGCAACGAATGTGAAATATATGGCATCCCTGTACCCTTATTAGTTTATAATTTCTTATTTCAGTTTATTTGACTTCTCTCTCACTTAATCTAAAGCAGGGATTTTAAAGTCAGTTCACTTGGCCAAGTGGTCATCTTCTTACATGGGCACGTACTGCAAGGTGTGTGCCTCTACACTGCTATCAGTACTCCCATACACACAGACACACACACAGATAAACACTCCCATAAAGTGACTGCAGACCAGCAATCCAGGATTGGTCACTCAGTGACATATAAAAGTGTTTAGGCAGTCAGCCCCTTGAGACCCCTGATCTAAAGAAAATCAACTCTCCTCCTTCAAAGGATGAGCTATTTTATTCTGCTTTGGCTTCTTGTTATATTTTTAGTCTAGTAAGTGTAACAAGCCTGTACTGCCTGCGGCTTTACAAAGTTAAGTGTGAAGCAGTGATGCACACAGTAACACAATCATTCACACTCCACAGTGAGGGAGCAGTAACAGGCCTGCAGCATGATAAATAAATGGGTGAAACATTAAACAAATAGGGGGAAACAATGGAAGAAGGAAGAAGAAATAAAACAAGGAATCAGGAAATTGAACAATCAGGAAAACAAGATGAGAAAAAAAAAAAATTCTAGTGAACTGGCAAGAACTTTTAAGATGCAGATCAAAATAGCAAAAACATAAAATATAATAACCTTTTTGCATGTTGGTATCACATGTTGTAGTAAATTGTGATTACAATTAATAAAAATAAGCCTACAGAGACCAAATCCATAGTTACAAAAGCTGAAAAGTTACATGGGTCCTTCAAGTGACGCTTTACTCATATCTATTTTTGATGTTAAAGGACCACTATAGGGTCTATAGGTCCCCCCGCCCTCAGGGTCCCACTCCCGCTGGGCTAAAGGGGTTAAACACTTACCTTTCTCCAGCGCCAGGCAACTCTCCTCCCTCTGCTGACGTCAGCGCCGAATGTGCATGCACTGCAAGAGCAGCGCGCGCATTCAAACAGTCCATAGGAAAGCATTTCTCAATCCTTCCCTATGGACGTCAGCGTCCTCTCATTGTGATTTTCGCAGTGAGAAGCGCCTCTAGCGGCTGTCAGTGAGACAGCCACTAGAGGCTGGATTTAGAGGCTGGATTAACCCTAGTGTAAACATAGTGTCTCTGAAACTGCTATTTTTACAGCTGCAGGTTAAACCCTAGATGGACCTGGCACGCAGGCCACTTCATTGCGCTGAAGTGGTCTGGGTGTCTATAGTGGTCCTTTAATACAAATTAAGGCAAAAAAATCCAGTTTGAAGTGCCTTCCTTTTTGTAACAAACTAGGAAAAAATTCCTTCTCGACCCCAAAGTGAAAGTCCATTCTCTCCAAGGATCAAGCAGTTATTCAAATATTAAAAGTTATAAGTTATACCAACGGTTGCCAAACTGTGTGCCCCAGTGCCCTAGGACAGGCACACAGGTGTAACGCAAGATATTTTCCTGGTGCTATGGTCATATAATCGTAGCACCGGGAACTGCGCCTCACTCTTCCCTGCCAGCTCTGCAGTACCGGAGGGAAGATCATATAGCTCCCTAACCGGCCTGATAGCACTGTAATGCTGCTGCCAGCAGGGGAGGGAGCACCAGGGAGAGAACTCTAACCTGCAGCTCTTGCGAGCTCGGAGCGTTGCAGCGGTTACCATGGCAACGCTCTGAATCAGGCTAGAGTTCACTCCCACCACTAGGACCGCCAGGGCTTCTCCACCAGGCCACCATGGATTAGGACTGTCCCACTCCTAGGCAAAGGTAAGCAGGGAGGGTGAATATGAAAATAATTATTTTTTAATAAAAAAAAGAAGTTATATATTCATGAATTTGCCCTCCTACTAGGGATCGACTGATTATCGGTTTTACCGATATAATCGGCAGATATTCGGTATTTTCGGCAATATCGGTATCGGCAAATATAGACACCGATATTGCCGATAATACCTCCCAGGACACAATAACTCCCCCCATACACACACACTGGCATCCCATATACACACACACACACACTGCCCCTCCATAGACACACAATTAGCCCCTGGGCCCATACATACATACATACATACACACACACACACACACTTTCTTCAGGCGCCCCAGTTTATGGTCCACTATTACAAATGTGGATATAAGGGGAGTTAAAAGAACCATGCAAAAGTTACACTCTACTACATGTGACTTAAACCCTGCTCCAGCTTATATCTGCATGCACTGAAACACTTGCCCCAGCCCTCACAAAAATAGTGCACTGTTCACTAAAAACTGGAGACTTCCCAGATCCTCTAAAAGAAGCTGTGGTAAAATCACTCCTAAAGAAACCTTTATTAGACCCAAACTGCATGGCTACTTACAGACCAGTATCCAACCTTCCATTTCTGGGGAAAATAATTGAACAAGTAGTGGCAACTCAACTGGAGGCCCATCTATCAAGCTTGAATATCTTTGATCTTTTCCAGTCAGGTTTCAGATTCCGCCACATCACTGAAACAAAGCTAGTCTGAGTGCTAAATGATCTCCTTATGGCGAGAGACTTAGTGACTCCATCCTAATCCTCTTGGATCTCTCAGCTTGCAGCACATCTGTGGTCTAGGAGAGACAGTCCTTAACTGGTTTAAATCTTTCATCACTGGTAGATCACAGAGAGAGTGGCCTGCGGAGTTCCACAAGGATCCATATTGTCTCGTATGCTACTCGCAATTTACTTGCTACCACTGGGACATCATTAGGCCCATAATACACACACCCCGCCGACTGAGCAGGACTGATGAAGTGAGGGCTCCCAGGCCTGATGGACCCAATAGCTACACAGACAGCCGGCATAAAGCTACCAAAAACGGATAAACAGAGCTCTGCTGAGCTGCAGTCAACCTCATGGCGCCTTCCAAGCAACTGAAGCTTAGGGATCTGATCGGATCCGCCAAAAAAGACCGGCTCCGGTCCAGCCAAGATGGCGACAACGAGGTGGCTCCTACCTCTCTCTAAGAGGGTCATCAGGAAATAGAGGCTCCCTAAAGCCGTTACACCGACACCCCGGTGAGTGAAAAAAGGCTGTACACGATGCTGCAGGAACTTAGGGCCACTCTACACACTGACTTCCAGCAAATGACGGCGGAATTTAAGCGGGAAATGTCAGCTGGGGCCAGTACGGACCGTCTAGAGGTACGCACTGAAGAGATTTGCTCTGCATATAATGACATGGAGGCTAGAGTGCAAGCCCTCACAGACGAACAGACACCGTTAAAAAGAAAGCAGGCAGACATGGAAGATCGTTCTAGGCGAAACAATGTCAGGTTCAGAGGCATCCCTGACACCATAACGCATGATGCACTGCCTGACTACATTAAAGGCCTATGTCAAGCTGTGCTGCCAGCACTGGAAGCTGCGGACTGGCTCAGGGACAGAGCGCACCGCCTCCCTAGTCCGCAACGCTTTACGGCAGATACCCAGCGCATTGTGGTGGTCAGATTCCACTACTACAGATCAAAGGACATGCTGCTGGCTACAACGCGCAAACTCACGACACTTCCAGAACCGCACCAAGAGGTGCAATTATTTGCAGATTTATCAGCTCTCACAATGAGCCAACGTAGAGAATTTATCTCAGTCACGAAGACCCTCCGTAACCATGCTGTACAATACCGTTGGGGTTAAGATCACTAAGATTATCATCTGGAGGAACAACAAGAATCACATCATAGAACAGCCGGAGGATGGCCTACGCCTTCTCAGAGACTGGGGACTACTCCGCTCGCCGATGGGGTAGAGGACACAAATCCACAAAAAAAAAAAAAAAAACACGACTGCATAACCATGAGGGTGGGTTGATTCTCACACATATTTAGCATAATTAAGGCTGTACTGAGATAGCTACATGTTACCAAGTATGTTTAAAGGGTCCGGGTACGAAGCCGAACCACGTAGGTTAACTCCAACCCACCCAGTTGAGTATGCCTCTCGAGTACTAGGCTTAGCAGCTGACCGAACACCACAAAATACCCTATCTTATTAGGGAATGTTGTATATACCTTGTTTGTTTTATATGTATTTTTTCATGTTTTTCTGGGTTCACTGTGTCTACCTATGCTCAACTTGGTTACACCAACAGCCATGCAGGGAAGCTACGGCCCGCACAGAAAGGAGTGGGGCTCCGGATTGCCCACACACAGGCACAAAGTTTCCTCTGCACTCACAACGCCAAGCAAACCCACGGGATGTAACCGCTATGGCGTGCACTCACATAACCTAGCTCATGTGCATGCCTAACTCTATGGTTATATTCTCCCTTAATGTGAAAGGCCTAAATAGTCCCCACAAACAGAGGCTAACAGCCCAAGACATGCGCACTTCCGGGGCAGCACTACTCCCAAGAATACCACGCATATTGCCCAACAAAATCAAAAGGGGTCTCCGTGTACTTTCATGATTATTGGGTTTCACCCCTAGCAAGCAACACATGAGTTGGGATGGCCGCATGCTTAAAGGACCACTCTAGGCACCCAGACCACTTCAGCTTAATGAAGTGGTCTGGGTGCCAGGTCCAGCTAGGATTAACCCATTCTTTTATAAACTTAGCAGTTTCAGAGAAACTGCTATGTTTATGAATGGGTTAAGCCTTCCCCCAAAGCCTCTAGCGGCTGTCTCATTGACAGCCGCAAGAGGCGCTTGCGTGCTTCTCACTGTGATTTTCACAGTGAGAGCACGCCAGCGTCCATAGGAAAGCATTGTGAATGCTTTCCTATGCGACTGGCTGAATGTGCGCGCAGCTCTTGTCGCGCGTGCGCATTCAGCCGACGGGGAGGAACAGAGGAGGATCGGAGGAGGAGAGCTCCCCGCCCAGCGCTGGAAAAAGGTACGTTTTTACCCCTTTCCCCCTTCCAGAGCCGGGCGGGAGGGGGTCCCTGAGGGTGGGGTCACCCTCAGGGCACTATAGTGGTCCTTTAACTTAGTAGGCACAATAAATGGTATAATGGAATTGCTTCCCTACACGCCCGTACTCGGCTCGAGGCACGGTGTCCTGGCGCCTCCATGAGGCTCTCCTAGATTGCCCCACCACCTACTCTACCATCAACACCCACCTCACAGATTTTTTTCCACACGACACGAAGCGTGCACCACCCCCATTACCCCTGACCCGAACAAACACACTCATAAGCAACTGGAACAAGTCCGGACTGACCTACACAACCTCAAAATTGCTACAACAGAAAAGCACATGAGATACCTTAAAGAAACACTATAGGGTCAGGAACACCCTCATGCCTCCATAAATTTAGTAAAAATGTTACTGTATACAAGCCAGAAGCTGTAACTCTGCATGCTGTTTGCTTTAAAAAAAAAAAAAAAAAAAAGTCTGCTGACATCATTAGAAGTGGTAGCCTGATCCAATCACAGTGCTTCCCCGTAGGATTGGCTGAGGCTAACAAAGAGGCAGATCAGGGGCAGAGCCAGCATGATTCAAACACAGCCCTGGCCAATCAGCATCTCCTCATAGAGATGAATTGAATCAATGAATCTCTATGAGGAAAGTTCAGTGCCTGCATGCACTGGGAGGAGACACAGTGCTGCCCTGTGCTCTGCTGACAGCAAATCTGAGTGGATTGAGGAGTTTTATACCTCAATCAACTCGGAAGTCCCTCTGGTGGCATTCTGAGTGACTGCAACTGGAGGTGTTCCTTGCTTTCAATGTAAACACTGTATTTTCTCAGAATACAGTGTTTACATGAGAAAGGCTGCAGGGAGCTATAGTTCTCACCTGAACAACCTCATTAAGCTGAAGTTGTTCAGGTGACTATAGTGTCCCTTTAAACAAACTCATTACACTGCAGGGAATAAGGCAGGAATGCTACTCGCTAGGAGACAAACAGAAATATTTACACACAAAAATTCCATACATTCTCTCCACGACAGGTGACAAATTGCACAACCCACACCACATAGTTGAGAAACTAGCCTCCTACTATGCTTCCCTGTACCAGCTCGACAGGGATCCTCACACGCACACCAACCCTCGGACGAGGAAATTACTCTCTTCCTGAACCACACCCGCATCCCACTCATTACAACGGAACAACAAGCGACTCTAGAGGCCCCTTTCACATGCGAGGAGGTGGCTGACACGTTTGCTACTATGCCTAAGCACAAATCGTCTGGCCCGGACAGGCTATCCAACTATTACTATCACAGATTCAGATCCACACTAACTCCACATATCACCAAACTCTTCAATCACATTAAACAAACCGGAAAAATGCCTAAAGAAATGCTGGAAGCATTCCCAAACCAAACAAACCTCGACGGTCTGCGCCAACCTGAGAACTATTTCCCTACTCAACGCTGACATCAAGTTGTATGCCAAACTGCTGGCTAACAGGCTCAAACCACTCTTCCCCACCCTAATCTCTGAAGAACAGGAGGGATTCGTCCTGGGTAAACATGTAGGCGACAACACTAGACACTTTATTAACCTCATAGAATGGGCCCACTCCACACGCCAGGGGGTAGTTCTGCTAGCGCTGGATGCTGAAAAAGCGTTTGACCGCCTAAATTGACGGTACATGCAACTAATGCTTGCCAAAATGGGAAATCCCCCCAGTGTTCATAACCAGCATCCTGGCCCTATATCAGGACCCTTCAGCAAAAGTTTTCAGCACAGGTTTTCTATCAACCCTGATACGACACATCAGCCATTCAAGGCATTTCCACACCAAAGGGCTAACAAAAGCTGGCACTGTTCGTCAATGATATTCTCCTATACATAACAAACCCGGTGCACTCCATTCCACGATCTCCTAGCTAAATACAGCGAAGTAAGCTTCTACAAAAACAACACCGTAAAAACACAAGCTCTCCCTGTTCTTTTACCGCACACACTCACAACACAACTTGAAAGCACCTACGTATTCAATTGGAGGAAGAAGTCACTCTCCTACTTTGGGATGAAAAAAAAAAATCACCAAATCCGTGCACACACTGACAGAAGAGAATCACATCCCTCTGATCCAAAAACTCAAAACCCAAATGTCATCATGGGAAGAACTAGAGGTCTCCTGGCTAGGACGCATTAACTCTATTAAAATGATGATTCTTCCGCATATATTACCTTTTTAGAACCATTTCTATAGAACTACCGTCCCGCCTCGTTAAAAGACTCCAATCAGTAACAAACGCTCATGTGTGGAAATGGAAACCCCCTCTAATAATGAATAAAACCCTGGGCCTCCATTACAAACTGGGGGGCTTAGGCCTGCCGGACGTCCGGCTCTACTACTGGGCTTCCTTGCTGGCTCAGGGAGTGAGACTACTCAGGGCTTCTACGGAAGCACCCACCCCTATCTGGCTATCCTTTGAAGATGCCTGTACATACTCGACACAGCTAACACAGGCTCTATGGGTGGGCGCCCCAATTCCCATTAACAGGCCGATCTTGAAATGCACAAGAGCACTGCTGCAGCCCCCCCCCCCCATCTTACAAACCGAAGATCAGGGCGCAAGGGCTACACAAAGTCCTAAAGCTCACAACCCACAGTACCTGATGACCTCCCGCACTATCAAACCCCTCTCCCTGTGCCCACTTGGAGGTGCCCATTTTTTGCATGAAAATGCCTGAAGGCAATGTTTATACTCACCAGAACAACTACATTACACTGCTCTTTGGGAAGATGCTACCCCATACAAACTCCCGTACATGGCACAGTGGGAAAGGGATATTGGGAAGGAACTCACGCTACAACAATGACACAAGGCCATATCCATCACTAAAAGAGCATCTAGCAGCCTTTCCATGTGGGAGTCCTTCAGCAAAATCACGATGCGATGGTACATGGTGCCTCAAAGACTGGCCAAGATGTACGACACAGTCTCCCCTCTCTGCTGGAGGTGCGAGAACGCCCAGGGTACACTATTACATGTCTTCTGGGAATGCCAAGACATTAAGCCTCTTTGGCTAGGATTACAAGCTCTGATCCGCATGACTACCCATATGATAATATTCCACTCTGTACATTCAAGAGGCCTACACTGCAGGCTCCAAACAAAATGGTACCGCAGGCGCGCAGCGAGGAGGCGGCCTCAGAGGACTCTCAGGATGATGGAGGGAGCCTCACCTCGTATCGGGATTCGGAGTCAGAGGAAGACTCATCTCCGGTAACAAAGAGACATCAGGAAATTACTGCAGGAGATGAGGGAGGTCTGGAAAGCAGACATCAAAGACACTCGGAAGGAGATGGGGGCCCTCCAGACACTAATAACTGCGGTCGAAGGTAGAGAAGATGCCTGGGACCACACTCTGCAAGTAACCCAAGACCAAATACAAGACCTCACACAACAAGTCCAAAGTCTAACCAGAACCGTCACGGCACTGGAAGCGAGACACAGGAAGCAGAATGTCTGCCTTCGAGGCATCTGGAAACCGTTGGTGGGGATGACCTACTGCCATATGTACAGAGACTGATGGCCAAAAAAGGCGGCAAGGATCCAGGCATACTGCTTACCGCATTCCGAATTCGGAAAGCAGCGGCCGCCTCACTAGACTAGACGTGACTAGAGACTCAATAATATACAATTTGAGGGGCATACAGTGGCAATCTATGGGGACATCCCTTTTGCAGCAATGATGAGGCGGAGACTACTTGCACCGATAGCGAAACAGCTCCGAGAGGCAGCGATCCACTACAGATGGGGAACTGACGGCTCATAACAGTTTCTGAAGGGAGACCAGTCACTCGCCCTAGCCTCGGAGGATGATTGAGCTCTGTTCCTCCAGCAACTAAACCTTCCCACCAGAGACACTACTCAGACTAGCTGCAGGGAAGCAAGGGCTAAGCAGACCCCCAAAAGCTGATTTACAGCGGCAATGCCAAAAAATAATCCTACCTGATAACCCTCGTGATCACATAAACACCTACCACACTCACCAGCACTCACACTCTACTACTAACTCCCCTCCCCCTCCCCCAGCCGCCAAAAGTAGCCAGATATCTAACACCCCAAACTAAATGTAACCCCATAAGCCTACAACACGCGGATACATCAATAGACACATAATGCTGTTTGCGCAATATGTAGATAGAATGTTTACTGTGGTTTAGTGAGGCCTACATATCCTTAAACCACCAGTTGAGGATTATGACAAAAGTTAAAGGACCACTATAGTGCCAGGAAAACACACTTGTTTTCCTGGCACTATAGTGCCATGAGGGTGCCCCCACCCTCAGGGTCCCACTCCCGCCGGGCTCTGGGGGGAGGAAGGGGTTAAACTTACCTCTTTCTCCAGCGCCAGGCGGGGAGCTCTCATCCTCCTCTTCGGCTGAATGCGCATGCGCGGCAGGAACCGCGCGTGCATTCAGTCAGTCCATAGGAAAGCATTCACAATGCTTCCCTATGGACGCTGGCGTCTTCTCACTGTGAAAATCACAGTGAGAAGCGCAGAGGCCCTCTAGCGGCTGTCAATGAGACAGCCACTAGAGGCTGGATTAACCCATATGTAAACATAGTAGTTTCTCTGAAACTGCTATGTTTATAGAAAAAAAGGGTTAAACCTAGCTGGACCTGGCACCCAGACCACTTCATTAAGCTGAAGTGGTCTGGGTGCCTATAATGGTCCTTTAAGCTGAAGTGGTCTGGGTGCCTATAGTGGTCCTTTAAGTTCCACACAGGTGATGCCACAGTGACTAACAGAAAACCTGCAAACATGTTGATATGTTCTTTTCTATATACTACGATTCCGATGTAATTTTGGTGAGATGTCAAACTCCAATAAAATACACATTACAAAAAAAAATAATAAAGGATCAGTTGGTAAACTGCTAGATGCAAAATCGAATAAAAAACAATAAAATAACTAGGTAAGAGAATACAAACAATGAAACATGACTGAGACAGATCTGATATGTTCACTTTAGAAAGTTCTGGAGACTTGAAAATCAATTTCAAGCTCAGCTGAGCTGAAAAGTTTTTTTTAATTTTTCACCTGATGTTGGCTTTAATTTTGAAAGTTGTTTTTTTAGCCACAACTAATTGTTTAGTATAGTCGCTACACTTGGAAGATGAAGCAAGCATCTCTTGTCAGATCACATCTGACATATCAAGATAAACCACTTAACCATTATTTTGCCATACAAAACAATTTTATATACAGTTCTAGAATACATAATGTGTGCATATTACATTACAATGACCAATATAAAGTGGTTAAGAATCTCACCCAGAATATGATGTTGTAGCTAAAAAGCAGGTACTTGTAACAGCAGCTCACCTCCGCCGTGCTGTAGCGATAATAGTGCATCTTTGCAAATGGAACTACTGAAAGAAAAAAAAATGGTTTTAAAATTCCTTAAATAGTGTAACATTAGCATACTTCACATGCCAAAGTTAGGAGTTAGGAGGTAAATCATTTTTATTTATTTTTTTGCAACCCTAAAAGCTCCACTGGCTGTGACTTACACAGTCTTCCTACACATTTCACGAACAAGAGTCAAAAGGTGTTTAGCTTCCGTTATTGCATTGTGCTTTTTTTTTTTTCTTCTTCTTCAATCTCCTGCTATGTGCGGTGTGATTAAAGGAACACTATTGGGTCAGAAACACAAACATATATTCTTGACCCCATAGTGGCTTGTCGCCCCTTAGCAAATGTTAAATACGCCCCTTATTTCCAGCGCCGCGCGGGTCCACTGACGCTGGCCCCACCCCTGATCCGCCTCCATGGGGACATCTTAAGCATTAGGGAGGCAGGATGGGGGCGGGGCCAAACTGTTTTTGCCAAAACAGCACCTCCACAGAGATGCATTGAATCAATTCTACAATGCCTACTGTGCAGCACTGCTCCAGGAAGCACCTCCAGTGGCTGAGCAGTGCCCACTTGGAGGTGCCCATTTTTTGCATGAAAATGCCTGAAGGCAATGTTTATACTCACCAGAACAACTACATTACACTGTAGTTGTTCTGGTGACTATAGTGTATGTAAAGGTCAATTAATAGTGTAGGGAATAAGAACTTCTAAAGTAAGCAAACTGTACTGTAAGATCCGATTGAAAATGAAACCTTTTTTCACAGAGGTTGTGTGATTTACAGTCAGGGGAGAGGAAGTTGGGCTGCATAAACAAAGTAATTTAAATTCTCACCAAATTAAGCAGTGAGACTGCAGTGGTATGCCTTACACACCAAAGCTGATTCATCAGGCTAAAGGTTTTTGGTGCATAGAGTGAGTGTACCTATAATTGAAATGTGATTTCATTACTCCCTATTCTAGAACGTTGTGCCATCCTCAGGAAACAGGACATTAAATTGGAGTTTTATTTGGGATGGAGCAGAGAAATAAGGAAAACTGCAATACTAAACTGTGCCGCACTAGAGAAGTAACAGGGTTATTCACTAAAGTGAGAATAAAAAAAAGAAAATGGAAATATAAGGCAACATAGCCAAACTGAAAAAAAATTCCTTAAGTCACCTAAAATTATTCCAGTTTACCTACATTGGTCTAAAAACAGGGCTGCCCGTTAGGTAGGCCCCTCTGTCTCCCCCACGCCCCTCCCAGATGTTGTAGAACTACAACTCCCATGATGTTCTGCATGGCTTTAGAATGACAAGGCATCATGGGAGTTCTAGTTCTACAACATCTGGGGGATCTACCTAATGGGAAGCCCTGGTCTAAAATTGGAGATTCACTTTGAATTCTCACTTTAGAGCAGGCAAAATCTAGCACTCCTGATGTGGACTACATCTCCTCTGATGCTTTGCCGGCATTATGTCTGTAAGAGCATTATGAGAGATGTAGTCCATTACATATGGAGTGCTGAAGTTGCCCTATCCCTGCTTTTGTGAATAACCTTGTTAGGGTTCATTCCCTATCCTGTATTTCTGCACTTGGGACCTCTATAAGAATGAATTAGAGACATGGAAATGATTCCTGAGAGAGTGTTAGTATACACTAATTGTCTTTGCTGTAATTCTCACACAGTCCCAGTCCTCAGCCATAATTTACCCAAAGCCCACTTTTTTTTTCTGATCACTTTAAAATTTAAATTGGCAAGGAGTGTTTGGAATGGTCTTTTTAGTCTGAAAAAGCAAATATGCCATAATAATATAAAACCTTGTATTTATTCTGAATCTGTAGAATAAACCGTTAAAGATAGACATAGCAGTGGTTCACAAAATAAACCTGCTCTAATATTTCTACAGGATTTACAGATAACGTTAGAGCTGGAGAACGCAACAACAGAAAAACAGAACAGAATAAAAACAGATTGTTCCCAACTCAGTATGTAAATATTTGAATGGAGTCAAACAGCAATTTATCAATCAACACAGAGCATAACAGGAAACATCTTTGGGCAGTAATGCATCCAATTTAAAATACGACTAAAGCTAAGCAACAGCCGGCAAGATAACTTGGAGAACCTTAATATAAAAGACTTGTTTATATACATTTTTAAATCTAAAAAAAACAAAAAAAAAACAATCAAATGAAATATTTTTGGCAAAGTGTCAGTACAGTGTGTAATTGTTACTTATCTGTCTTTTACAAGAAATCGGGTGTCACAAGAGGGACAGTGACCTAGCTTTAACTTGGTCGCCACCCTCTTATTTGGAAGTGTTCCCAACAGTTGTGTGAAATAGCGTGTGCATATACAGATTGAAATAGCAGCAAAAAAACTGCTTAATTAAGCTAAAGTTGACTATAGTGTTCCTTTAAACCCAAAAACATATTTGTACAGTTAAATGGAATTTGACCATAGTGGATCTCTGTTTATTATTTTGGCAAAGTTGAACTGTCAAATTAGCTCTTTTACCACCGGAGTACAAAGGAGAGGCTGCCTCTACCCATTGTGGAAAAAAAACCTGGGGTCCTTTACAGACCTCTAGTGCAGTCATGACTTGTCATAGAGAATCATTGCATTCAATGATTCTCTATGGCTGTGTATGTGCCTATGGTTCTCTATGCTAGTCTATGAGCAGCATTGCATTGGATCATAATACTGGAGGCACACCTCCAAGATTACATCATGCGAGGAGGAGCAGGCGGCAGAGCAGAGGAAGGCTCAAGAATGGAGAAAAGGTAAATAAAATCATTTTATTTATTATTTACCATGCACACTATGGTCCCTATAAAATAACTAGAGACATGAAGACTACAAAATTATCAACACAGATTTGTATTCCTACTGCTACAGTGTCCCTTAAAAAGCACACTCCGATCACTACAGCATGCTTTAATGGCTATGGAGTCAGGAGTGCCCTGGTGCCTTTGCATTGTAAGGAGTCAAGCTGTTTTACAATGGTGTGACTTCTTACTTCGTGTCTGCCAAGACCTGCTACACTACACCATAAGCTCTCTGAGCCAAGCCTGGCAGTGTAAGGCTTAGCTAATTGGCTAATAAAGATAATAATGCTCTGAACCAATAAGTTACCCATAGATTACATATACTGTCTTAAGATAGCTAATATAAACAGGAGCTCCAACTCACAATGGCAGCACGCAAGGAAACTCCTCGTACTATAACCACTAGAGCAAGCTAGAATGGTTATGGTCACTGTCAGTGATGACGATCTCCCTTCCTTCTAGATGGAATTGGCACATGCAAGGCAATTACTGTCTGTCGCCCAACAGAATGCTTCTGATGGGGAAGCATTAGAATAATGCTTACCTATGGAAAATTTCCACTTGAATGATCACTCAAGTGGAAGTTAGATAATTAATGCTGAATTAATTCATAGAAGTGCTGATTTTCTTGAAATTTGTCATTTTTTGATTTGGAACAAGGATGACATTCAGTTAACCAAGAAATCACTTCAACAAGTTAAGTGCTTGAGGAAAAGTCACCTATTGCAGTGTTTACTGGGGTGAATACGCTTTAGTCTTGTAAAAAGTTCTTCGTACCAGTCGCGCAAGTGCAAACTCACATCTAATGGAGATATGCGATGTTCTCCAACAGTGCAATACGTGTGCATATGCAATATATGCTGCATTGCCAAATTGAACAAATAATAACTAGCTGTTCTCTCTTCATTCTTGAAGAGGATATTTGATATTAGAGTCCAACATGTGTAACAGGCTGCTATATTTTGCTGTTTTGAGATCTTGAACTTTGCCCTTTCCCTGTCACGTGAGGAGGAAGGACTAGGGCGGCAGGAAGAAGAGGACAAGGGAGAAGCCATGTTCTCGGAGTCTGCATAAAGCAAGCGTGCTCCTACCTATTAAAATTATCTATTACTGCTGGGACTGTGTAATTAAAACAGGGGAGGCTAGTGCACTGCTACTACAAGAAGTTGGAGACTGTCTACTGCGCTCCTAGGAGAATAAGAAAACTTATTTTATGTTCAACTCCCTGCAGATTCAGGAACTTTCTGCCGTAGTGTGAATGAGCTTTTGCATCCTGTCTGCAGAAGGAAAAGAAAGGATTGTCATTGATGTTCTGCTGCTGTCCTACATTCTGCTGGATCTCTCTGGAGATATCTGCAGTTACAGAAGTCATTCAAAGGTACTGTCTCCAGAGATTGCTTCAGGACTCTCCCTTATAACTGTACCTGGGTAGCACTACCTACACCTAAGGGCCCCAACGTTGTGCACATAATTTACCTGCAGGTACCTATGAGTTTAACTGTTCAGATGTAGTTATTGACATCTTTAAGGGGATTTTGTTGTCTGCATTCCTGCTTCTAAAGACTCTTGTGACTGTATCATTCCTACATCAGGGACGTTATCATTTAACATTAGCCAGGGACTGCATTGTTGCTTCTGCTGTTATATGTGTATCTCTTTAACCACAATAAAATGTGTATTTATTTCAGGAGTTGGCCTGGACTCTAAAATATATAAATGAAACCAAGAAGGCTGCGCTCACCTGAACATGCATACATTATAGGGTGCTGCTGGGGCCAAAACATACAAAATACACAATCCAGCACACTCTCATTCACTAAACAATGATTTCCCTGTCACAGGTGCCTCATTTCAGGACCCTATTTAGCCTGGACTTGCAGAGAGTCCCAGTAAGGAAGTATTTCCCAAGTAAGTAAATTAATCTCATGGAGTGGAGTCTGTATAATACGTTTCAAACTGCTGCTTTATTAAGCAAATACAGTGATTATATATTTTTTTTAATGACAACAAAAAAGGAAAACAACGTATAGCTACCCTCGGGTATTTTTGTAACAGATCATAAATGGTAAATGCATACACCCATTTAGTGTTTCCAGGAAAGTGGGAAGCTGCTCTGTAAATCAGACTCTGAGTGGCTGCTGACATCACATGTTCATTGCAGCCTTGTTTTTGTTTTTGGGGTGGGAAGGTTTATCGTATCCGAGGGTTTCAAAACTCTGATGCAACTACACAAACAAAAAAAACACAGAGCTGTAATTTCACTTCAAGCTGTCATTTCAGATAAACGAATTATGGCTTGGTTAGATGAAACTAATTCTCTTCAATGTTTTTTTGTTTGTTTGTTTTTTACTGATCTATTTCAAGAAATTTATGAACTCACCTACAATATTTGATAGATGCTTGTGCTGAATTCTTCTCATGGTTTCCCTGGCGATTGTGTCATATTTAGAGCATTGAAAGGGACACTATAGTCTATACTATAGTCACTATAGCTCATTGTTGTGGTTTTGGCGCAAAGCCTGTCCCAGTATGGCCAGCAGTGTAAAAAATGTGGCGTATAAGATAAGTTGCATTTTTAACCCTTGCAGGGGTAAGATCCAAACATGTGAACAGCACTATAGCGTTAGGAATACATGAGGGTAAAGTTAGGGTGCTGAAAAAGATTGCACTCGTCAATGTCCATCACCATAACCACTACAATAAACGATGGTGATTGTAATAGTTTAAGAAATCTAACTCAATAATCTAGGCAGTCCAACGTGTAGTTTTCTGAATAGAAAGGCCGCCAGGAGTGGCAAACAAACAAGACAAAGAGCTGGAGGGTGGCTGAATGCCCTCATTAACCATTAGATTAGTTTGGTAAACAGAACCCATTTTGTTAGTGTGCATTCAGCCAAGTATTTTATGTAACAGTTCCAACACAGAACTTGCATCTAACAGTGGAAACAAGTGAAAATACTCCTCACCGATAACAGAGTAAGACTAGGTTATCTGAGACACACAGAACGGAAAACTATTAATCATCTTGTACCTTCTGTCTTCCTTCCTGTAAATGGATTAACCATCTACTGAAGATTGAGCAACACACCTCTTCCTAAATTCTCTGCCTCACAGCAACACAAACACTAAAATAAAACGTGGACAAAGACCTTGTGTGGTGGAATCTCGGTAAAAATAAATTTAGTAGGCCGAGATTACCACATGGCATGTGTACGTGCATATGCTGACGTATCGATCAGTTGGTTGCACGAGGCAAGATACGATCAGTAGTGTACGGAGCATGTGCAAGGATACAGGATGTAGTATTCCCCTCCTCCATTGTGCTGGACAAGCCATGTGGTCAAGCAGGAAGTTAATTCTTATTTGTAATGATTGGTCAAGAGAATGTGCGGGTGGAGCTTAATATGGGAGGAGTTATGTGCCTATATAGGAAGCCTGCACTATTGTTCAGGGCTCAGAACTTGCTGTATTTTTGGTGACATTAGTCCCTCTGAGTCCCGATCGGTGATCCAATAAAGAATCTCTTCCTTCCTGAAGAAACCTGTGTCCATCCCTCTGTGCTTTGCTTCCGTCAGTTTCTCCGGTATCATTTGGTGCATTGGCCGGGAAGCTCATCGTTCAACGGTAGCTGAGAGGCAGAGGCGTGAGACGGTCTATCTTTGCCCACGTTCTCTACGGCTGCACCCCTGAACTTCTGCGTGGACCTCCCTTCGTCTCGGCGCCACTGGTCTGTTGTCCAGGAGATCATCGGCCTCTACGTAAGAAGTGCTGGGGTGTCCCCGTCGATGAGTGTGAACTCAGGTTCAGGAACGAGGAGGTAAGACAACTGCTGTTTTAGACGGCAGACCCACTAGGGGTATACCGATTGTGCGGTAGGCCCAAAAGGGGTTTAAATCTGTGTATGGAATCTGCCCCCTCTGTCGGAGGGAAGGAGCGAAGGCGCACCGCTCGATCGAACGCTCTTTAGTAAGACCGTTTGATCTGGTTAGTCAGGCGGGGTCCTGTGTAAATAGCCCTAGCCGGACACCGGTGTCTTGTCTAGACTAGCGTTCTAGGGTGTATATTACGTTCGCTAGGTCGGAGGGACCGGGAGACTAAGCGGCGCCTGTGTAAATTCGGTTCGCTAGCTCTCAACCTATCTTGGCTAAGTGGGAAGGCGTGTAAATTTGGAACCCACTAGACTTTTGATAGAGTAAATAGACTAGAAGGGCAATTTTGTAAATTCGCCCTCTAGTTCGCTATATGTGGTGCTTGGGCAGTGTGGCTAACCAAAACGGGTGTATATAGTTTTAGGTAGTCCATTCAAGGTACTGGCCAATAGTTTAGTTGGGATTGTAAATGTGTTAAAGATTGTTAGTAAAGTGTATATCTTGTTAGATAGCGCGAGCTCAGCCGTCTAGCGAGAGTGTTAATAGTGTGTTGCTGTATCATAGTGCACGGTACCATAACCCTGTATATTTACTGACACTGTATATAAGTACTAATCATTGTCGTCTATTGCATGTTTAACACCGTAACCACTAATAATTGTATTGTGACCTTAAATTGTGCTTTGACCTATGCTAACCGTACTGTAACCGATACTAGTAAAAGACGATGTTACTGGGGTGTGTTATAGACGGGTAATTCATATATAGAGAATTATAGCGTGGGTGACTGTATAGTTTCGCCAAAGGGCATAATATTGATTATTTAGCGACTGGTGTAACAGCTGTGTGTGTACGGGAATTCCCTGAGTGATTATTGTGTTATTGTGTACGTTTCACTTGGTAACTGTACCACGTGGTGCTGTTGCCAGAGGAAACGGGTGTGACTGTTGAATAAGAACGCGTGCATAGTATTCGTTGTCAACGACGTTCCATTGATAAGTATGGGCGCGTCAGAGTCAACGATTTCGGATCCCTTAGGTTGTATGGTAAAGAATTTTAAAAAGGGATTCAAAACATGTGATTTTGGGGTTAAAATGTCTCCTGTACGTTTGGTCACTTTGTGCACTAGGGAGTGGCCTACTTTGGTTGCGGCATGGCCGCCGCGTGGCAGTTTGGATCCAACCCTGGTACAGCGTGTACACGTGGCTGTGTCAGGTAGGCCTGAACTTTACGGACAGTTTCCATACATTGATTGTTGGAGGCAGGCCGTAAACGACTCGCCAAAATGGATCCGGATATGCCACGAGGAGCAATGTCGCCTCATGGTGGCCAGGACTTATTTGTCCACTAGGACCGGTGTTAGGCCCATTTTGGACACGCCCCCTGAGTCCGAGATCCCTTTGCCGCCCCCTTACTTCCCTTTAAGAGGAAGTGACGCGAATGCAGGAAGTTCTGCACCCCTTCCCCTATTGCCCCCATCCACTTCCGCTTCCTCCTCCAGTACAGAATCCACCCCCCCTCGTATTAAAACTCCCCTTCCTGAACCAGGACCAACCCCCATTAGATCTGAATATCCTGATTTGGCGCCACTTCAAACTTCCGGTCAAGCTTCTTCTAGCTCGGCTCAGAGTATACTATTCACTAATTTTTCACAAAATCAAGTTCCCACATCCTCATGCCCTATTACCTCTCGACCGGAACCTTTAACTGACGCCCCTCCACGTAGCCCCATACTAACCCGACAACTGACCGGTACCCAACAATTAAAACATTATCAGATGCCTCTTCGTCTGAATCCTGGGTCAGCCTATATCGATGCCGCAGGTCAAATGGCACATGCTGACCCAGTCTTCGTATATGTCCCGTTCACGACTACCGATCTCTTGAATTGGAAGACCCACAATTCCTCGTACACTGAGAAACCACAAGCTATGACCGATCTGTTCACCTCGATAGTTCAGACACATAACCCGACATGGGCTGATTGCCAGCAGTTATTAATGACATTGTTCAATAATGAGGAAAGGACAAGGATTAACCAAGCGGCCATTAAGGCGCTAGAGGAGAGAGCCCGTGCTTTAAATCAAGCCAATCCGGCAGCATGGGCCGCAACACATTACCCTAACACCGATCCTGACTGGAATGTAAATGGCGCAGATATGGCTCAACTTAAAGCCTATAGAGATGCTATAATTGCTGGCATGAAAGCCGGAGGGAAGAAAGCTATTAACATGTCGAAGACAGTTGAGGTGATTCAGAAAAGTGATGAAGCGCCCAGTGTCTTTTATGACCGATTATTGGAGGCATACCGCTTGTATACCCCCTTTAATCCGGAAGACGCTGATAATTCCCGAATGGTAAACTCCGCCTTTGTCAGCCAAGCTTACGGAGATATTAAGCGCAAGCTACAGAAATTAGAAGGGTTTGCAGGTATGTCTATCACCCAACTAATGGAGGTAGCGAACAAAGTATATATGAATAGGGAAACAGAAAGTAAGAAAGAGGAAGAGCGCAAGATGCGTAGAAAGGCAGATATGTTAGCGGTAGCGATCGCAGGCGTAGATAGACGGGGCTCAGATAGAGGCGATGGTAGATGGAATAGGGAGCCTTTGAGTAGGAATCAGTGCGCGTACTGCAAGGAAGAAGGGCATTGGAGGAATGAGTGTCCGCAAAGAGAGCAGTATGAGAGAGACTTACCCAGGGCAGGTTATGGAAACTTTAGAGGCAGAGCGAGAGGTAGAGGAGGCCCCGGAGGGAGTAATGGTAATAGAGGGAGTAATGGGAACAGAGGAAGTGTAAGGGAAGATAGGTACTATCCAGCAGCGCAAAGGTCCCGCGATAGAGAAGGTAGGGACTTTGTGGGATTGGCTGACACGGTCATGGAGGACTATTGATACCGACCGGGCTCCATCCCCCTTGGTCGAGCGGAGCCTATGGTCGATGTATCAATAGGGGGAAAAAGGAGTGCGTTCATGATCGACACTGGTGCTGAACATTCGGTGGTGACTAATCTAGTTGCTCCTCCATCTGGAAGAACTATTACTGTAATAGGAGCAACTGGAAGAAGTGCTGAAAAACCGGTTCTTAAAAGTCGACTCTGTACATTGGGAGGCCACGTAGTAAAACATCAATTCCTTTATATGCCTGAGTGTCCAGTCCAATTGCTGGGACGTGATATGCTATCCAAATTACAAGCGCAGATTACGTTCCTACCAAATGGAACAACATCCTTAAAGTTTAATGGACCCTCAGGTATTATGACATTGTCCGTACCAAAGGAAGAAGAGTGGCGACTTTATACAGTGTTGACTAGCCAAAACCCGAGGAGTGATGAATCCTTATTTAACATACCAGGAGTTTGGGCAGAGAACAACCCACCAGGACTGGCCCGCAATATTCCACCTATTAAAATCGAACTAAAACTTGGGGTTTATCCAGTAAGCCTGAGACAATATCATATTCCGCAGAAGGCTAAGAAGAACATCCAATCTTATCTGGATAAGTTCATACGGTATGGTATCCTAAAATTCTGTACTTCCCCCTGGAACACCCCATTGCTGCCTGTTCAAAAGCCCGGTACAGATGAGTATCGACCTGTGCAGGACTTGAGAGCAGTCAATGATGCGGTTGTTAGTATACATCCAGTCGTGCCCAATCCATATAACCTGCTTGCTTTAATTCCGGGCGGGGCTACTTACTTTACAGTCTTAGATCTCAAAGATGCCTTCTTTTGCCTCCGAATTGCCGCAGAAAGCCAATGTATCTTCGCTTTCCAATGGGAAAATGCTGTAACGGGCTCGAAACGCCAAATGACCTGGACAAGATTGCCCCAGGGGTTTAAAAATTCACCTACCCTATTTGGTTCAGCTCTAAGCCAAGATCTACTAGATTTTGAGTCTATCCCAGGAGAGTGTGTATTATTACAATATGTAGATGACTTGTTGATAGCAGCAGTTACAAAGGAAGTATGTCAGCAAGCAACGCATGATCTACTACACATCCTCTGGAAGGCAGGATACAAGGTGTCAAGAAGGAAGGCTCAGTTGTGTTTGCCAACTGTCAAATATCTGGGATTCCATATCTCTGAAGGTCAAAGAATTATGGGGCCAGAGAGAAAAGAAGCTGTGTGCCAAATACCGATACCCAGGAATAGAAGACAAGTGCGAGAATTCTTGGGGGCAGCAGGCTTCTGTAGGATATGGATTCCCAGCTACGCGATACTGGCAAAACCTCTGTATGCAGCTATCAAAGGTACAGAGCACGACCCCTTCTTATGGACTCAAGAACAGCAAACGGCATTCGAAGATGTGAAGAGGGCTTTGATGAGTGCCCCAGCATTAGGTCTACCTGACCACACACGGCCATTCTACCTGTATGTACATGAGCAAAGAAGAATGGCTGTGGGAGTATTGACACAGTACTTGGGATCATGGCAAAGACCTGTTGCCTACATGTCTAAGCAACTGGATGCAGTGGCCAGCGGACTTCCACCTTGTCTAAGAGCTGTAGCTGCAGCCGCCCTGCTAGTAGCTGAAGCCGATAAACTCACTCTGGGTCAAGAACTTTATGTACGAGTTCCACATGCAGTACAGACGTTGTTGGATTACAAAGGAAATCATTGGTTTAGTAACAGCCGTATGACCAAGTATCAAGCAATGTTGTGTGAAAACCCAAGAGTGCATTTAGAGACTGTAAATACCTTAAATCCAGCTACCCTTTTGCCACAACCTACTGAAAGTCAACATGATTGTTTGGAAGTAATGGATGAAGTATTTTCAAGTAGACCAGATCTTCGTGATTTTCCCATCCAGAACCCTGATGTTCAATATTACACCGACGGCAGTAGTTATGTAAAAGAAGGGATCCGCTATGCAGGATATGCAGTAACAACGATAGACAAGGTGATAGAAGCTCGGCCACTGGCAAAAGGAACATCAGCACAAAAGGCAGAATTGATAGCACTGACACGAGCGTTACAATTGGCTGAAGGTTTAAGAGTGAACATCTACACGGACTCCAAGTATGCGTTTTTAACCACTCATGCCCACGGAGCTTTGTATAAAGAAAGAGGACTATTGAATTCAGAAGGCAAAGAAATCAAATACGCAGCTGAGATCCTACAACTATTGGAAGCAGTGTGGGAGCCGAAAGAAGTCGGTATTATACATTGTCGGGCGCATCTGAGAGGAGATAGTGATGTAACCAAAGGGAATCGGATGGCAGATAGTGCAGCTAAGCGTGCTGCTGAATCAGGAAGACAGGAATATGTGGGGCATATAGCTGCTCTTATACCAACTCCACTGTCTCAATGGACTCCAATTTATACAGCTCAAGAAGAGGAGTGGTTAAGGACTGAACCTGGAAAGTATTTGGAGAACAAATGGTATCAGTTAGAAGATGGAAGAATAGTTATTCCAGCATCACTAGCGGTAGAAATTGTCCAAAACTATCATAACGGGACACATTCTGGGAGAGACAGTACAGAAGAATCTCTCAGAAAACATTTCTACATACCAAGATTGTCCAACTTGACTCAGGCCATTGTACGTAGATGTGTAACGTGTGCTAAAAATAATGCAAGACAAGGACCAGTAAAGCCACCAGGAGTCCAGTTTATGGGGGGACTTCCCATGTCCGATTTACAAATTGACTATACAGTGATGCCTAAATTGGGTGGACATCGCTACCTTCTGGTAGTGGTGTGCACCTATTCAGGCTGGGTAGAAGCATGTCCTACTCGTACAGAGAAAGCAGGAGAAGTCGTGAGATTCCTGCTACGAGAAATAATACCCCGATATGGACTACCCTGCTCTATAGGATCGGACAATGGTCCAGCTTTTGTTCATCAGTGCCTACAACAATTGACTCATATGCTTGGTATAAAGTGGAGGCTTCATACGGCATATAGACCCCAGAGTTCTGGTAAGGTAGAGAGAATGAATAGAACTATTAAGAATCAGTTGGCTAAAATGTGTCAGGAAACCCAACTTAAGTGGAACGTTCTCTTGCCCATAGCTCTATTGCGAATCCGTAGTACACCTACCAGAAGGATGGGCCTCTCTCCTTTTGAAATCATGTACGGGCGACCACCTCCCGTGCTTGGTAACTTAAGGGGGGATTTGAGTCAGTTGGGAGAAGGAATTACCCGGCAGCAGGTTGTAGAGTTGGGTAAGACTATGGAGGAGGTACAGAAATGGGTACAAGATAGATTACCTGTGAATATTTATCCCCCAATTCATAGTTACCACCCAGGCGACCAAGTGTGGATTAAAGAGTGGAATAATGTGCCGTTAGGGCCCAAGTGGAGAGGTCCTTATGTTGTTCTTCTGTCTACCCCTACAGCGATAAAAGTAGCCGAAGTGGCTCCGTGGATACATCACTCCAGGGTTAAACCAGCAGCAGCCGATTCCTGGCAAGTTACAGCAAATCCAGAGAATCCCTGCAAAATCCGGTTAAAACGCACGACTCAGTCGGAGTGACGAGGAACCTTGTGGATCACAAATTTTATTGTTTCAGAGACTTGGTAAGTGAGTGAGAAGGCCATAATAAAGCCTGTCCACTCACCAACGAGTGTATAAGTCAGGGAAAGTCTTGAGGGGACCCCTGTGAAGACGAGCAGAACTCCATTCCCTGCAGCCCTTACATCCTGGAAGCTGAGGTGCCTTCGCACGGACGAAGACTGAGGATGACGACGAAAGATGTATTTTTAATAATGTTTATTTATGTGTATTTTTATATTCAGGAAGGTAGAGGTACCGACACTCCTAGCTGTGAGGTATGCATTAAGACTACAAGAACAGGTAACCATATATCCCAGACCCTAATTTGGCATTCGCAATATGAGTGTAAAGGAGATGTATCAAGATGTAGATACTTAAATATAGAATATAGTGTGTGTCATTTAGGAGTAGGAGAACCTAAGTGCTTCAGTCCTGAGTATCAACCCCGTACAATTTGGTTGACTCTCAGAAATGGAGATCCTCAGGGGACCCTAATTAATAAGACGGTATTAAAATCCGTATATTCTTCAGGTGCTCTGCTATTTGATGCGTGTAAAGCAATATCAAGTGGTAGAAAGCCGTGGAATGTATGTGGGGATCTTAGATGGGAGAGGACGTATGGGTCTAACGATAAATATATTTGTCCCAGTAGTAAAAATAAATATGTAAGTCCAAGATGTCCAAATAGAGATTATAACTTCTGCCCATATTGGTCTTGTGTGGGGTGGGCGACTTGGGGACAGACAGTAGACAAGGACATGATTGTGACTAAGTTGCCTATTGATCCATATTGTAAGTCTATGGAATGCAATCCAATCCATATACTTATAAATAACCCTGACAAGTTCTTAGATAAATATGGTAATTTATTTGGGTTTCAAATATATGGGACGGGTTTAGACCCTGGGACAATATTGTTTATAGGGATAGAGACTGATACGGTAACCTCCCAAACTCATCAAGTATACCATTCCTTTTATGAAGAGATGAGCATAGATAATAAGATCCCCCATAATGCTAAAAACTTGTTCATTGATTTAGCCGAGAGTATTGCCGGTAGTCTTAATGTTACCAACTGCTATGTGTGTGGAGGTACTAACATGGGAGACCAATGGCCTTGGGAAGCAAAGGAGGTAATGTCCGGTTCTGAGGCAGTTGACCAATTAATATCTATACAAGCCGACTATCATATGAGTGTTAGAGGTAAATCTGAGTGGAGATTGAAGACCTCCATCATAGGTTATGTTTGCATAGCGAGGAAAGGAATGATGTATAATACTTCTGTAGGAGAATTAACTTGTCTAGGGCAAAAAGCTTATGATGATGATACAAAGAATACAACTTGGTGGTCGGCTTCAAATGTCTCAGAACCATCTAACCCGTTTGCAAGATATGCCAATTTAAAGGACGTATGGTTTGATCTATCCATCACATCTAACTGGAGAGCCCCAGCGAATTTGTACTGGATCTGTGGTAAGAAGGCCTATTCGGAGTTACCACAGGACTGGGAAGGGGCATGTGTGTTGGGTATGTTAAAACCATCCTTCTTCTTGTTGCCTATTGAAACAGGTGAGACTTTAGGTGTTAAAGTGTATGATGTGAATCATAGGAAGAAAAGGGGACCCATAGAGATAGGTGCCTGGGAAGATAATGAATGGCCTCCCCAGCGTATTATAGATTATTATGGGCCAGCCACGTGGGCAGAGGATGGTACCTTTGGTTATAGAACCCCTATTTATATGCTCAACCGCATTATAAGGTTACAGGCGGTGGTTGAGATCATTACTAACGAGACATCACAAGCGCTCAATCTTCTAGCGAAGCATAATACCAGGATGAGGACAGCAGTCTACCAAAATAGATTAGCCTTGGATTATCTTTTGGCAGTAGAGGGAGGTGTATGTGGGAAGTTTAACCTGAGCAATTGCTGTCTTCAAATAGATGACGAAGGGCAAGCAATAGCTGAGCTTACTAGCCATATGGTTAAACTAGCGCATGTGCCTACTCAGGTATGGAAAGGGTACAATCCAAGTAGTTGGTTTGGTAGCTGGTATGAGTGGTTTGGAGGGCTTAAGGCAGTGGTAGGTGGAGTCCTACTGATTTTAATGTTGTGTCTACTCCTGCCGTGTCTTATACCCTTAGTAGTTAGGTCTGTGCAAAGCCTGATAGAAAATATAGCAGAGAGGAAGGCTGCTGCACAGATAATGGCAATTTATAAATATAAGGCTCTAGATCAGGGAGAACTAATGCAGGAAGATGAGTGTTGAAGATTCACATCATAGGATAAGTCTGGTCTGGTTCAAAGGTAACTTGTGGTGTATGTAAACCAAGGTTAAGTGATGCCTCAAGTAATTGTAAAATATCAAGAGGCATCAAAGGGGGGAATGTGGTGGAATCTCGGTAAAAATAAATTTAGTAGGCCGAGATTACCACGTGGCATGTGTACGTGCATATGCTGACGTATCGATCAGTTGGTTGCACGAGGCAAGATACGATCAGTAGTGTACGGAGCATGTGCAAGAATACAGGATGTAGTATTCCCCTCCTCCATTGTGCTGGACAAGCCATGTGGTCAAGCAGGAAGTTAATTCTTATTTGTAATGATTGGTCAAGAGAATGTGCGGGTGGAGCTTAATATGGGAGGAGTTATGTGCCTATATAGGGAGCCTGCACTATTGTTCAGGGCTCAGAACTTGCTGTATTTTTGGTGACATTAGTCCCTCTGAGTCCCGATCGGTGATCCAATAAAGAATCTCTTCCTTCCTGAAGAAACCTGTGTCCATCCCTCTGTGCTTTGCTTCCGTCAGTTTCTCCGGTATCACTTGGAGTATCCCTTTAACAAACTACTGATGCTGGAGATATTAAAAAAAATAAGTGATTTACTTCAATGTCCTGAGATTTTACTGATGAGCATTTCGTCCCAGAAACTTGTCTCAGATCATGGTTGCAGCCCAGCACTTACAATCACACAAATGCCTTCAGGCATGTGTATATCAAGCGTGTATCAAACAATTCTGCAGCATTCAGGGAGAAAGGGAACCATAAGGAGAGAGGGAGAGAAAAAAATGCAGACATGAGGGAGAAAAAGAAAGTTGCGTGAATAAAAAGCAAATGAGTTGCTGAACTTTATGGCTTTATGTTTATCTATATAGCAATAGTATAATAGTTAAAAAGATCTCTCTGACTAGCCTTGCACCCACCCATTACAGCAAGAGAGCATGTGGTCTGCACCTCTGGTGGGTGCAGATCAATACTCCCTTGTGATTCTGGCATTTATGAATGACTCAGACTTGTCCATTATCTAAAGTCCGAATGGCATCCTACAAAATGAGGCAAAATCATCCGGATGCGTTCGGGGCCATTCAGAAAGCAAAATCTAGACACCGTGCATACTTTGAAAAAAAGTACTGATTTTGCAATTCTGGTTCTGAGCCAAAACAACTAACTGCGTGATTCGTTTGGTTTGGAATTCAGCTTAGTTTAGGATCAGAGCAGCAAAAAATGAAATAATCAACACCCCCAAGAATGCTTAAATTATCAGGAAAGCACACACTGCATCCAAATGAATTTGGCATGAATACACTGGAAGTACTAGGAAAGGTGAAAAAGATTGTAAAAATTATATTTAAGGAAGGTATACCTACACTAGGGTGGTGGGGGATTCTGACCAAGTGTTTAAAACCTTTATACTGATCACGTTTAAGAAAGGTTTTTAACTGTAAGTGGTGGGGGTCAATATATGAGTTACTAAGCTTTATATTGACTGAAAAAGTAAGGAATCAAGACAAGTTAAAGGATAACTATAGTGTCACTGTAGGGTCAGGAACACAAACATGTATGACCCTATAGTGAAAACACCATTTAGGTGACTTTCTCCCCCCCCCCTTTTTTTTTTTTCTCTAAACAGGCAGTGTTTACATGAAAATGCCTGATGGGAGCCATTATACTAGCCAGAACAACTACAATAAGCTGTAGTTGATCTGGTGACTATAGTGTCCCTTTAACACACTATCTTTAATGCCTTTACCAACATGTTTCTTTAGTAAACAAAATTACTAAACAGATTTCAAAGTGAATTTCAATTCTAAGGTTTAACCCCTTAAGGAATGGACTATTTTTGCGATGTTGTACATTTGCGACCAGGCTTCTTTTTACACTTTTGTGGTGTTTGTGTTTAGCTGTAATTTTCCGCTCTCTCATTTACTGTTCCCATACAAATTACATATAGTTTTTTTTTTCAGGACAAAAGGGGTTTTCTTTACATACCATTATTTATATAATCTTATGTAATTTAATTTAAAAAAAATTGAAAAAAAAACATTTTTTTGACTTTTACTTGAAAAATATTTTACTTGTCTACAAAAGCGAATGAAAAAAAAAGTGCTAAATAGATTCATAATTTTGTCCTGAGTTTAAAAATACCCAGTGTTTGCATGCTTTGTTTTGCAAGTTATAGGGCTATAGGTACAAGTAGGATATTGCGGTTTCAAAACATACATTTTTAAAATTTATCAATAGTGACATTATAACACTATTATCTGTCATAAATCTCTGAATAACACCCCACACTTACATATTTGTTTTAAAGTAGACAACCCAGGGTATTCAATATGGGGTATGTCCAGTCTTTTTTAGTAGCCAATTAGTCGAAAACACTGGCCAAACTTCATATTTGTTTGTGTGTGAAAAAAGTAAAAAACGAAATTTAACGCTAATTTTGGCCAGTGTTTGTGACTAAGTGGCTACTAAAAAAAAGACTGGACATACCCCATTTGCAATACTTTGGGTTGTCTTCTTTTGCAAATGGTATGCCATCATGGGTGTAATTCTCATTCCTGGGCTACCATACGCTCTCAAAGGCAACGTAACCAAAAACGCTATAAAACCTGTACATGGGAGGTATGGTACTGTTATACTCGGGAGACTTTGCTGAACACAAATATTAGTGTTTCAGAACAGGAAAACGTATCACAACAATTATATCATCAGTAAAAGTGCTGTTTGTGTGTGAAAAATGCACTTTAACTGACAATATCATAGCTGTAATATGCTTTACTGTTTTGAATCACTAATATTTGTGTTCAGAGAAGTCTCCCGAGTAAAACAGTACCCCCCATGTACAGGTTTTAGGGTGTCATAGAAAGTTACAGGTTAAAATATAGTGCTAGCAAATTAAATTCTCTGGACTTTCGGCCTGGGTTGGCAGGCAGGTTACTCAAATTGCAATCAATAAAATTACTTAATTATGTAAAAATATTACATAAATACGCACATGGAATTTAAATATATATGCATATTTATATATTTGAAGTCTACGTGTATATTTATATAATTTTGTATATGGACATATGTATATTTCGTATTATTTTTATTTATTTATATATACATAGATATATATACAATTTCATTCTAAGTGTATTTTGATATAAATATATCACCAAACTCAGCTAGTTATCCCCCCCCACCCCCTTAAAATAGGCAATAAAAAAAACCACGACATAGAATGAAAATAATATTAAAGGGAGGGGGGCAGGAAACCACTCTAATCCACGTCAGGACGCCTTGTATATTGCGGTTTTCCTGCTTTACAGTGCGCTATCTGCGCGGGCCTCCAGCGTTGCAGATGCGCGTCTAGTGGCTAACCCCAAATGTAAACATAGCCGTTTCTCTGAAACGGCTATGTTTGCATCTGAAGGATTAAAACCTGAGGGACCTGGCACCCAGACCACTTCATTCAGCTGAAGTGGTCTGGCTGACTATAGTGTCCCTTTAAATCTCTGAGGGTTTAAAGACCAGATATGTTTGGTTACAAGTTAGATATTTTTAAGTGATTAAGTTAGGGTTTTTTTTTATGTTTTGTAAACTAAAAGACCACAGCCTTTTTCATCACATATCTGAGTCTGTGTGTTTTTATTAATCTTTCACTCTGTGTTTATTACGTATATTCATGAAATGTTTATATGTTTGTGTATGTTAGAATTAACCCCTGCAGTGCACATGCTAATGGCAGCCACTATGAGCACCTTTAGTAATTATAGAGGTAACTTGTATTCACGCGGAAGTGAAGGTTGACGTCCACTTCCGGTTTCGGCTTTCCCATTGAACGCGCCCAATTTAAATCATCTAAACACCGAAAATACCATCAGCTGGAGGATAATACCTCTGGACCAACGAATAGCTGGCTATTGGACACTCCTACACCATGGACCAATGGGACTTTGGGACTAGCCCTATTTATAGAGATTCTGTTAAGGGGAAAGTAGGATATGTTATTTTACAATCTGTGATATTGTTTGTGATTTTTTTACTGTGCGGTCCCTGATGAAGTTCTTGCTTGAACGAAACGCGTTGGACCTATTGCTGCACTTTTAATCTTTATTCTTATGGTGTCTTTTCACCTTTTAAGAAAATAAAATAATTGCTTTTCTACTACCACTTACCTGGAGTCCCGTGTTCCATTGGTTGTTCTACATTGAAAAGGGGAACCACCAGCCCCCTATACTATCTGGGGAGGCACCTTGTGAATGCTCTTCTATTTCCATCATCTTGTGAGTGCATCCATTTAAAGCGCACCATTTACTGTATTTATTGTGTTACACTATTGTGTTTTTCCTTTATATGTTCCCTCTATAGACTGTACAGCCGTATCCCATTTCTGTCTGTGGTTCTATGCATATGTGAAGATCGTTTGTTTTGGATAACGATGCTGGGAGGCTGCAGATTGATTGAAGTTAAGTAATTTACATGATCAGAGCACTGAGTTTAAGGAACTTGTATTCATGTCTGAATGAATTTAGTATGAATATATTTATACAGGTTGTTTTTGGTTTTTTTCTGAAGTGTGTATACATTTTTTCTAGCTTGCTCTGTATTTCCTACATCCATTGTTCTATTTGTGAGAAAGCGTGGGTGTGGCTAGTTATGAATGCATTGAAGAGTGTCTGTGGCAGGTTGAGTCATTGTGAAAGGCAATGCAATACAGTAGTCAGTGGATAAGTGGGGGAAGGGTGGGGGGAGAAGGGGTTTGTAATAATGTATACTTGCGAAAGTAGTCACCACTTCAAACACCATAACCACTCCAGTTCTTTAGTAATTATGGTGAAAGAAGTTATTGTCACAGGGTCGTTACCCTAACGTAGAGGAAATGTTGAAATCTACAAATAGAAGTTACTAAATAGATGTATTACTGCCTTAAGAGTGGACAGCATTGATGTGATAAAGATAGAAACAAAGTCCATAATGGCCAAGGCCCGGATAATAGAAATATGGATATATTGTCAGGATACCGAAAATACACAAAGTCAAATACAAGCCAGGGTCAAAATCAAGGTAGCTTAAACGTCTATCAATGCAGAAACCACAAAAGGGCACTGAAAACGGGACGGGCCCATATAAGTTTTATATAGGTTTCAACATATTCTGAATGATCAACGTCAACTCTGTGACTCCAAAAAGTTGCTTAGATGATAGTCACTTTAAGGGACGGGTGAGACGTCATGCAATTTAAATTACATACGAAAACGCCATTCAAGTGAGCAGAATCCAACCGACTGCAAGGAAGTAGCGGCTGTCAATAAATTCTTCCTGCGTGAACCAGGAGGACTAGCGGTTCGACAGCACCGAATTAGTAAGTAACAGCATTCAATATTTTACTTTCCGTTCCGCTTGTGCGACCCGATGAGAGGAGCAGAGAGGGCATGTGGAGCAGTAAAATTGGTTACATTTATGTAGTAGTAGATAGTAAAGTGTCTGTCCCCAGTTTTCCAATAAACTAAGACATCCTTGCCCTCCAAGGCCCAGCTCTTCTGCTGAGGTTCTGATCATGCTGAAGTGAAATTCTGCACTATTCGTCCAACCTTGAACAACACTGACAGGCAGAGGTGGCTCTCTAATTAGGCAAGTTAGGCCTAACTTGCCTTAGGGAAGTGATGCGTGTGCCACCAGGTGCAGGGCCTCTCCACTCAGTGTGCTAAGGGGTAGAGCCCAACAGCGTCCGGTCTGCAGCTAGACCACAAGGAAGCATACTGGACCACCAGGGAATCAATTACTGCCCCCCTCCCTGCCTAGGAAAGGGGACAAATGCATAAAAAAAAAGGTTTTACAGCATGGAGAGGTGGGTTTGCAAGGTGAGTCAGAACCATTAAAATAGAAGCAGGAACAGCATTTCTTGTAAGATAAAGTAGGTGTAACAGAAATTAATAAATGGTATGCAATACCAAGCATATGTCAGGATTCTGATGAAATTTTTTGAATTGCAATTTCCTGAGAAAAACAAAACATCAGCATATAAAATGCAACTACAAGTATACCAAGCATCTGTAGCTTAGAGGGCATTGAAGGACTGTAATAAATCCTGTACTATAACTCAAATGGATCGAGGTCCACACTCTTTCTAGAGCACCATAATACGTGACACACAATGGCTGATGTAATACATTGAGGAAAAAAGAGGAGCAACATTTAATGTCCCCTTGACTCTGTCCACCTCCCATTAGTGAAATTAAAGGGATTCTATGGCCGTTTTCCTGGCACTATAGAATCCTACAGTGCCCTCCCTCGCACCCCCCCTCCTCCTGCGGCTCTGAATGGGTTAAAACCCCATCAGCCACTTACCTAAAAACCAGCGCTGATGACCCTCAGCACTGGGTCAGGCTCAGCCCACTCTAACATCAGCGGGGGAGACCTAATGTGCACTGCCCACGCTCCCATTAGGATTAGCATTTCACCATAGGAAAGCATTAATCAATAATTATCACTGTAGGGTTAAGGGACATGGGACATGTAAAACATCGTAGCAGACTAACAAACACTGGATAGCCGCTACATAACCTAACACTCAAGTATCCAACTAACTGTCTGCTAGTACTGCCAGAGGTCAAATAGTAGTAATAATTATTACTCTCTTGTTAAAAAAAATAAATATATACATTTAAACCACATCTTTACATCAGTGTGTTTTCTGCAGGGCGAGGCTTTCAAGTAATACTTCACCCACCCTGAAAAATGAGTATTTCGTAAATAATCTTTCGAAAATACTCCTTTTGACAGCATTGGAATTTCATTGAAATTCCAACCCAGTCAAGAAATATACAGAGTTATCTGTACATTTTATCTTTGTATATTTTCTACAACTGACACTTTTAGACACTGGGCAGAGTGACAGCTGCAGGGATTGGCTCTATAGAGGATCCTGCGGGATCCTTCACCGACCTCAATGCTTTACTCCTGCACATGCAAGCATCATGAGCTGAGGACCCTCCGGAAGAAGTAGGCCGCCCCCAAAACGGATAGGGTAGCGCTCACCTTTACCTGCCCTCTAGCCACCGAACCACCAGTGGTGATGTCACTGTCACTGTCTTTGTAATGAAGGTCTTTTGTGGACTGTTTTGAGTAACATTTTGTTTGGCATTTGTTAGTTAGTTAGCTTGACTCTACATATTGTTGGGAGGGAAAGATTTAATATTCAATTTTTTTTTATTGATTTGGACTCGAATTACGGTAATTCAAAGCACAACATTTCACTGTCCAGAACTCGCTCCAAAACGGTCAACATCAGTGTTGGTAAAACGCACGTGATGTTCTGCAGAAATAGATTTGTGCTTCAGACAATGTCTAATGATTGTATAATAAAAGTTTGTGCTCTACCCAATAAGAAATTGTGGTGGTTAGTTCATGGCATAAGCCAAGGATGTTTTATTGTGGTGTGATCACCACAGATTATTATTAATTTTTTATATTTTTTTTAGCAGTGCTATTACAGTTTAGCCTGAACAGGCTCCCTGAGATTCTGACCACGATAGCAATGTTCCAGGAAAGATTGAGCCAGAAACATGCACTGGTAACACAGAAAAAAAACCACAGAGCGATTCTTTGTCACAACTATACCACATTAGTGCTGACATTTTAGTCCAGATTTGAATTGCCTGGCTTATTTCCTCAGCAGCATAACAAAAAAACAAAAAAAAGCTTGTGACAAGGCAAAACACAGTCATCAGACTGCCAAGGCCTTTGGCCCCAGACTGTAACATGAATCAGAGTGAATTCTGGGACAGTATCACAATGTTTTACCCGTAGCATTACTGCTTTCATAGATGTAGAAAATAAGAAACAAACAGAAAAGACAGGCTACCATAGATATGCCCCTTATCGGTCTCGCCGCTCTTCCGATGACCTTCTCCTGTCTGCTGCTTGTACCCTCACTGCTAACTCAGGCTTGCAGGACTTCTCGCGGACGGCTCTCTTCCTTTGGAACAGCCTGCCTACCCCCATCAAAACTCTCCCCTAGTCTTCAATTGTTTAGGTCCCTCAAAACACATCTGTTCAGAAATGCTTATGGACTCCCAGAGTAACTTATCTATAATTACCCATATCACTCTCTTTCTCTCCTAAAGAGCCACACTCCACTCTCACCTCCAGCTCTGCTACTTTTCCACCTTCTTTGGTGGCTCTCACCCTTGCTGTCCTGTTGTGTTTTTGTACCCCGCCTCCTCTAGACTGTAATTTTGTTTTGGGCCCTCATCTACCTATTGTTCCGGTGTCATTGTGTAATTGTCTCATTGATTGTAAATTTCCCCCCTTTCATAATATTGTGAAGCTCTACGCAATTAGTTGGCGCTATATAAATACCAATAATAATAACAACAACAATAATACCAGCGGACATATGTCCTTTCCTCCTGCTATACATTGCTTCTTTCTAACTGAATGCAACTACTGCAGCAGTGTCTAGCGGGAATCCAAAAAGAATGGAGAACACCGCACAAGCAAAGCCTACTGGTGTCATATTCAGATCGGAGTATGAGAACAAGATCCTTGGCACAGGAAGATACTACTGGAAAGACAGAGGCTGGCAATCTATGGCACGCACGGAGCCTTTGCATGGCACACATCCCAGACCCAAACAGACTGGCAGGCGAAATCAGGGATCCTCCACATAGCTGACCCAACAGGGGTTTTAGTGGGACAAGAAACCAGGAACTTGGCATTTTGCCATTCCTCGCTTACCCAGCTTGCAAGATTGGGCTTCAAATATTCGGCTAGTGCCGACCAAGCAGTTGGAACTAGCAGTGATTGAAGCTGGTAGTGCAGGCTTGCACTAGGTGTAAGGAATGTTAGAGCAATACCTCCAAACAGTCAAAGTAGAATCTGTGCAGGACGAGAACAGCACATAACAGCACTGTGCCTGGACAGCTTATTCCCCACTGAACCACAGGGAAGCCACCCTCCTGATGCTAAATTGTACGCAAAAAGGATTGTGGCTAAAATAACATTATTGCGAATGTGTAAGACAGTATGTGTGAGTATTAGTGTGATTGTGTGTGTGGCATTCTAAGTGGTGGTGTTTGTGTGTATGCCTGGCAGTGTGTTTGTTTGACAGCATGTATAGGTGTCTGTGTGTGGATGCCATGAATTCATTAGGAATGAATGACAATGTGCATCTGAGTGTCGGGAGCATGAGAGACCTGTATGTGTCCACACAAATACTATCAAAAGCCACAGACACACAAAGTTACTGGCAAACCACCCACAAACACCAGTGACAGCGCCACATACACACACAACAAGTCCTTCAACCAATAAGCAACAACACACAATAGGACATATTGACCACACACACACACACACACCAGCAACCCCCATACACAGCCCACTTACATACATAAGCACACAATACTACAAACTGCTCACTTACATACAAAGATGGCATAGCAAGATAAAGGAAGCAACTGTAATAAAAAAAGCCCACTTACAAACATAGACACACACAATAAACATGCATAACATAAGCACTATACAGCAATACCCCTAAATAACACATGCATAACACGGAAACAAACATACACACAAGTCAATTTAAAAATAAAATATGGCCAGCTATCAACGGAACTTAAGTCTTGTTTTGGCGCAGTGCTGCTAAAAGCTTGCCTGCCCCTGGTCTATCAGAAGCTTATGTAAATATCCAAGGAGAATTAAAGATGGAGGCAAATGGGGTTTACACAATGTAATGTGAAAAGTTAGCATGACAATTGGCACACATATTGCGCAATGCATGGGGCTCTAAACTAAGTGAAGTTGGAAGACACAAGAGATTAGAGGGAGTTACACTGCCTAAAAGAAAAATAAAGATAACATATATGATGAAATCAGCGTGGAATGCCACTACGATGCCCATAAGTCAACTACGTATATACAAGCAAAAGGTCTGGCTTACTAAATCAAGCAAGTTTCATTTAATCTAGGGCTCAGCCACAATGATGACTAATTTTTGAAAATACTTGTCAGCAATCCACCTAATTTTTAAACTCGGTAATTTGTTCCACAAGGTGAGTTTACCAGTGATCAGGACAATTTTTTGGTTTTTAATTTTATGATTTTTTACATTGAGTTGTGTGTCCAGAGGGGTAACATTTTAGTGATTTCAGAGTAAATGATCAGATAAATGCTTGTTTATGAAAGGAATTTGCTCAGAAATTAAATGGCCACTGTAAGCACTATAATCATTTGGTCCCCTGGCACCATCCCTCAATACAACGTTAAACCATTTTCAAACAGTGTCACTGTAGAATAGGGTTAATGTGTTCACTAATGATTTAACCTCTTTCAGTAAGACAGCGGCCAGGACCTCCTCACACCAAAACTTCATAACAATTAAAGTCTTTAAAAAATACATAAATAATAATAATTGTTTTGTCTCTTCTTAACACTCTTTTGTAATGTTTGCTAATGCCGGTCATTGATTATGGGGATGTAGTGTATGCACCCGCACCGCAAACCCACCTTAATAATTATATAATTCGTTCTGCTGCTTTGTACTAAAATGTAATTACTTTACCCACCACTGTGACATGTTTAAAGAGCTAAATTGGCTGTCGCTGGAATTCCGACGCACTCTTCATCTTTCCAGCCTTGTGCATAAGAGCATTTCTGGGAAGCTCCCACCCTACCTGAGTAGAATGCTCTCCTCAGCTATTCCCACCTCCTATAACCTCCAATCCAGTACTAGCGTGATATTTAGCATACCGCAATACAAATAGAAAGTGGCTCGATCCTCGTTTTCCTACAGAGCACCTCGATTATGGAATAACCTCAGGGACACAGTAAAATCTTCATTCAATCTAAAATCTTTTAAGAGATCTATGGCAATATACCTCAGCACAGAATGCACCTGTCATGGTTGAATATATGTATTACCTATTATGTATTAAATTTAGATTATATAGTTTGTATATTGTATTTTTCTAATATTGTACCCTATTGTAACAATGCAATGTTTTGTGGACAAAGACCCAGGACATACTTGAAAACTAGCGAGATCTCAATGTATTCATGCTGGTAAAATATTCTATAAATAAATAAATTATAAATAAATGTTCAAATATCATGCTGACTGTGTCTGCATTTTGTTTTTCAGGAAGAAATAAAAAGCAACAGCTCCATGAGAGATATGCACTATCTATACGGTAAGAAAATAAGCTAGAGGAAGCACCCACGGGGCACACCCAAACAATGTATTTTTGAAGATACTAAACAGCAGACTTGTGGATTTCAATTGACAATGATTCAAGATGTTTCCTTTTCAAACAGCACATTTGTATTGGAACAATATTAGATGCAGGATCCAATGGTGGTCTATGAAACTAAACACTTAATACGCAAAATGCCCACCCTTGCTTTCCCTCAGCAGATCAGGAGAACTTCACAATAAACCAGGTAGGAAATCATTGTCAGATATCAATGATGGTATTTAAATCTCAAGTCATTAAAAAAAGAGTTTACACCATTTCAAACTATAAACAGAAAGGAACAATGTATATACCATAAACACTTCATCTCACTGAAGTGGTCGCCACTGGTCGTCCTGGGCGCCATTCCCTGTTTCATAGTTACAGGAACACTTAAAGCATCACAACCATTACAGCGAACTGTAGCGGTTACTGTGCCAGGAATGCATTGGCCGTCTCCCATTGTAAAAAGTCAAACCGTTTTAGAATGGTTTTATTTTTATCTGGGATGTGCCAGCGCCGTTCAACCCTCAACTACAACCCAGTGAGATCCAGAAGCTCTGTACACTTATCAAGGCCTGGCGGTGCATGGCTCAGTTCATTGGCTAGAAGCAATGAGCTGACGGAGAACCTTCTGGCTCTCACTTCCACTGCAGGCAGGCAGCAAGCAGCACCAGGTTAGAAAGTAGTTTGAATACTTACCGTGGGTATTCCTGGTACAATAACCACAAATGTGTGCTGTAGTTGGGTATGGTGCATGAGCTGTTCCTTTAAACCATTTCTAAATGACTTGCCAATAAGTTATTGTGGCAAACCGCCAGGCACCCCCAATGGGTGCCTCCGCCAATCGCTGCTTCCTAGTGCTTACCGAGTACCACAAGCACCGCACGAGACACCATCAGCACTGTAGTCCTCACTTCCAGCATTACAGCTTGGATGGGGTCTAGTTGTCCTCCACCCATCTTGGACCCAAGACCAGGATCCAGCTCCAACTGGGTTTATATGCAGGTCCCCATGCCAGGGACCTGAGAGTAGAGTACAGCAAAAACACAAACACTATTGCATTGGCTCTCAGGCCCAGGACACTCCCACATAAAACAAGATAATTCCTCCTCTGTGCCTGGGAGATAACTGAGTCAGGCACTGTATTAAACTCAATTATAATGGTACTTCGGTTTATAAATGCCCCAGTTAACATAATTTTCGGTTTACAAATGAAAATCTATTAAAAATAACGCCTCGGTTTACAAATTTTTTTTGCAATACAAAGCAAGTTTCCCCAGGCTGCATTGCGCCTGGGAGGTTTATAGCACCGCCCCCTGTGCATGCTTGAGTCTGTGGGTAGCACGTGGTGTCGAGTGTGGAGGTGTTGAAGCGGCTTTTGCATTGAGTTTTGGAGCCATTCTGGAATTTTTTTGCAGTGGTTTTGGGACTTTTTGGAACTTTTTTGGCGCATTTCTCAAGCGGTGGAAAGGTAGGAAGCTGAGCTTCATCGTTTGCATGCCTTTTATTGTGTTCTGCATTGTGGGTTGATTTCCATGACAGATTATTTTTACTTTTTTCTGACCTCCAGAACGGATTCATTGGTTTTCAATGCATTCCTATGGGAAGCCGCGTTTCGGTTTACAAATTTTTCACAATAAGAAACGTCCCAGAGAACGCATTAAGTTCGTAAACCAAGGTACCACTGTATCTCCAGGTACAGAAAACATACATTTTTACAAAACCCCAAATATACCTTTAAAAACCTCCACAAACGTTACATCCCCTGATAGCCCCGATCTGGGGAACCAACACATCTAAAAATCACCCAGATCGGTTCAGAGATTCAGGAATTTCCTGGAAATCATAATTTGACCGACCATGCACATGGTCCCATACCAAAAACAGTTCCAGAGAATCAGGGCTTGCAGTCTGTCTAGTTCGGTAGTTTAAAAACCGAACAAACTAATGAACATATTCAATGTTCTTACCCTGGAGCTTGTTCACCTCATTTCGACGATTCTTCTAAATCGTATAGAACCGAATGCAGGTGATGATGGAAGCCCGGTGTTCGGGAGTTTCTGTGTCCGATTTTAGTTCCAGCAACTCAACGACCAAACACCGCTGCCTGCATTCATGCGAACAAGATGGCTACCACCTCGTGGTCATTCATGCGAACAGCGGCCACCCCAAACAGACAATTAGAACACTGCGGTTTAGAATCGGTTCTAAGTGTTTATAAGGTTTAACAAGCTCCTGGGAGGTCCCTGGTTCGTGCTGCTGTTCGGGAACCGAACCCTATAAACCCAATTGCACAAACAAAGCCTTTTTAAAGTATTTTAGCCAGTCTCTGGGGCAAGAGTCTGGCAAGCAGGCTCCCACAAAAGCCAGTGGCAAGGTTCTGTTCGCTACAGTTATGTTCCCTGGCAACCTACAACCTGGCACCTTTAATGGGTACTGCTAAGGCAGGGGTAGGCAACCTCCAGCACTCCAGATGTTGACTAAATCTCGCCTGATGCTTTGCAAGCATTATGACTAAGAACATTATGAGAGCTGTAGTCCTCAACATCAGAAGATCCAAAAGATTGCCTACTCCTAGGTTAAAGGATACTAAACACCAAATATTCTACACAAATTGCTGTTTCTTAAAAAACAACAATCCATTCGCAAACAAATGAGCAGCAGGAAAACTACTTTCTTAAGATGTAGAAGCTTCAGCATTTCGAGTGTCCATTAGAACATAACACCAAAACCACAGCATTTAGCCATAGTGGTCTTGGTGCTTAGAATGTTCCTTTGAAGAGGTACTCCAAATGCCACAGTCTCCTTTGACTAACCATTTTAATTTTGAAAAAAAAAAAAGGGGGGGGGTTCCCTAGCACTTAAAGCCCTCTGCTAAATACATCCACATTATATTCCCAATAGACTGGCAATCATAGGCTCTGAGTCCTTCAAGGTCAGCAGAAACCGTTAACCCTTTCACCACCACAGAGATGACACAAGCTCCCAAACTATTTTGAATAGGAAGTGAATGTTTATAATTTATCAATAAGCTTTGTTGTTCTTTAAATGCACATTATTTTATTAAAGCGGCACTGCCATGCTGAACTTGCCTTTCTCCTTTTGTTTCCTCTGTTCCTACTCTCGGAATTTGTTGTTCTTTATTTCTGATCTAGTTTTCTTTAAAACGTAAGAAAGTAGGGACTGTTTGGTTTTCTGTATTTGCCTACGCTTGACATTCTCTGACACAAAGAGGAGCTTAACTCAGCTCCATTTGACTGCAGTAGAAGATCACTAGGCTGGGGACTATACGTTCGTCATACACTTATCCTTCCTCTACCTTGCTGTCGACGGCGGGTTCATGCAGCCAGGATGCTTGCAGAGTGAATTTATAGCACTCTCCTTCCTGAACCTGATTCGGGTTCCGGCATTAATGGATGCTTGCAGGCAACTCCTGTGGCTCTTCAAACAAGGCATAGTCTGATGCCGGGCTGTACAGAAGGCTTATTGCCATATACCTTGTGTGTACTTGGGATGACATCTGTTTTACTTTAGCAATACTGTCAGCCACCGTACTTTGACTTCAGCTTGCTATTTCTTTAATGTCTACCGACATATTCTTTATCATATTTTCTCTTGTCTATATACCGACAAATTGTTCTGATATGTGTTTTTGTGTCTGCTGTTGTGCAATGCATGACTTATCTGTGCACAGCAAAAATAAAGAATGACCAAAAAAAAAAAAAAAAAAAAACGAACTAGTATTAGAGGGTTTATTCACTAAACACCTAATTTTAGCAATTACATCCTACTAGCAAAACAGATGTTTTTGAAAAATTCTCCAACCCAAGTTTAGTCACATCACGACTATTGTAGCCTTAGAAATTCAGATTTAATTTACTAAAATTAAGTATTTAGTGAAATACTCTTAAAGTCTCGAAAGACAGTATGAGTACCATAACAGAGTAATGAAGAGTTATGCAAACCTGCAAAACTTCCTATCACATGACAAACTATTTAGATTGTGGAGGAAACTATTGTTCTTCTAGGGAAATAATGACGCTGGTATTCTTTTACCCAATTAAAACATCATTTGACAGCAATGCTGCATCCTATGTCCAACACCTCTCTGACATTTAATTTGCATGGAACGCACAGGAATATAAACATCAGTCTATTTCTCACCAAATAGAATTCTACGGAAAATGCAGACGTGAATAGACTGGAAATAGTCCCACAGCTATATAAGCAGATATTCCAGTTTGTCACTTTCCATAACATAATTTTTTGTTGACTTTTTCTATATGCAAGGAGAGAGTTTAAGACACATACTGTCAAAGTTTATGTTACTAATTAGATCAATAATAACTGCATAAAACTAGGCAAAAAGTGGTATAAGTATGCAAAACAGTTTGGGTCAATAAATTTATACAGTGTAAATAAGTAACCTCTGAATCTTACTTTGATAGAAATTCCTGGTTCTCCCATTGTTTTTAATAAGATTGCTTTGAGTATCCCATGGGATAGTCTGTACTGTCAATAGCAGACGTCACCACAAAAACATTCACTGATTTGGATTAAAAAATAAATAAATGATATATTATAGATATCTTGTCAGAGAGTTGAACATTGAATGAACTATGTAAACTATGCAAAATCAAGAGTGATGCTGTAAGCAGGAACCTGACTCACTCAGCTTATCACTGCTTTCCAAATACGGTATGTACTAAACTGATAATGAGCTGATGCAGACATGGGATACTGCATTAGTGATTTTGCAAGCACAGCCCAGCGCTTATGGTGCTTCAATTTTCCATTAACCACATTAAAGCGGTTCTATCACAATATCCTTAGCCGAGGGATCCTTGCCTCTGTTGCTCACCCCCAACCATTTTTCGTTAATGCTTTACTTACAGATTACAAGTCTTCTTTCTAGGCACAGCCATCTTCAAATTTGTAAGATGGTGGTGCCAGAAATAGCACCCTATGCCCATAGCTGGTTGTGCTTTGGCATTTCAGCTAACCTCAGTTAACTCTTGCAATTGTGTGAGAGTCATCTAAGATCCATGATGAGCTGCTACAGGACATGATGCGGCACTGGAGGTAGGCGAGTACAAGGATTCTAGGACAATGACAAAGTTCACAAAGGCTGTGGAGCTTGACTAAAGCTCTACACTTTGTCAATGATTGTCAACCTGTTGTCTCTACCTCAGTATGTATGGCTTGAGGGAAACAAAAGTATATTAAAAAAGCAAAAACAAAAAACAAAAAAAAAAACAGAGCAGCTTTAATATTAAAGGAACACTCCAGGCACCATAACAGCTTCAGCGGGATGAAGTTGTAATATGCAAGGTGCTCCCAGGCATGGTTTAATTTAAGTGGTTAAACCGTTACTAAACAGCTGACACTCAGCTTATCAGTGTCAGCTATGGATAGGCTGAGAGTGTTCTTAGCTTCCTTTATGAAGCCTCAGACAAAAAAAGTAAGTTCAAGGACCGAACTTAAGACTTTGGGGTTGAAACCATTTGGTTATTCCGGTTAGGCTGAAAGGCAGAACTTGATGGACGTATATGTCTTGTTTCAGCCTCTGTAACTAACCCTGTAAAATCCACCTCTAGCGACTGCACTGACTGAGTAAAACTTGGTAACATAATGCATTAACTAATAAGACGACACTGGATTTTATGCTTTTCTATGGGAAAGCCTGGATGCACTTGCCGCACTTACACCAAGTCCCCAATTCTCCTCTATGAGGACCATTGTCAGAGGGGGGAAAGCCTCGTAGAGAACAGTGTGAGCTTTATTTTTTTTTTATTTTTTTAATAAATTCTATGGCAAATGGAGGAGCTCTACTTTAAATACTAGCAGGGACACCAAAGCATTAGAAACACCGGTTCTGAACGCTATAGTATTTCTTTAAAGTTACCAAACTTTCACTAATACTGCATCCACAGTGTTACACCTAAATCCCCACCAGCTGCCATAGGATTAGAACCCAATAGTTATGATTATTATTGCCATTTATATAGCGCCAACAGATTCCATAGCCCTTTACAATATTATGAGAGGGGGGATTTAACTATACATAGGACAGTTACAAGAAAACTTACAAGAACGATGGGTTGAAGAAGACCCTGCTCAAACGAGCTTACATTCTATAGGTTAAAAATGGTAAAACTATAGAGAATGTATTAAAGGCTTTTCCTATCCAAAAGAAGTCTTACAATATTTTACTAAACACCACTGACCATCAGGGATGACCAAAAGGAACTTTTCTCAGGCAGTTTTAAGATTATAACACCTATGATGCTCTGCCAGATTTAACACTTTTAAGATTAACGAGAATATTCTAATCCATAATATCATGGGATGGTAGAGGGTCTAACATCTGGCAATCCCTTTAAGCTACAGCAAACTGTCCAAATCTGTCACTCACCCTGTAATCCAGGGATGGTCAAAATGTAGATTTTACCCTGTATGTTACGAAACTAAAACTCCCATGAAGCCTTGCCGTTTCAAATACTGCAAAAGCATCATGGGAGTTGTAGTTCTACCACAACTGGAGCTCCACACTGCAATCCTCACCGTGCTACCGTGCGTGTGAGACACAGACTAACAGGGACTCACCGAAACGTGTAGGAGCAAAGAAGGAACGGAACGGAACGCCGCAGAGTTCGAATGGAATGTTTACGCAGGCACCCGAAACCTTCCAAAGTTGTGTTTCTCCGCCACAGGATGGCAGCTCCTCCCACAGACACAGGAAGTAGAAACTTCGCTCCCTGTGCTTTCATGTCAATGGGTGGAGTAAGCACAGCTCAGTCACTGCTCTGAGTAATGTGCTGGAGGAATACGGAGATATCATAGTGATCGCACTGGTTGTTCATTTAATCAGGTTAATAGAAATCATGTTTTACGGGCAACACAGTGAGTTCAATACTTACGTGTATGATATGATTCATCACAATGGTATTTTGGGCAAAAAGGCGATATATAATTGTTTTATATTTGTTTTTGCCTATCATGCTGGCATATGGGCGCAGTTATTGGCAGTTCGTTATGTACTCAGTAAGTCAGGGGTAATCACTAAACAAGAATTGTATATTTATCTGTGTATTGTTTTGTTTTAGTTTTTTTGTCTATATGGCTTGCCAGCAAGTAAAGGAATCATGTTCTCAGTACACATTATTTTTTTAGAAAATGGGCATGCATGGTTATTTTCTAAAGTGAGAATTGTTGGGCAGTCAATGTGAATGTCAAATTTAAAGGACCACTATAGTGCCAGGAAAACAAACTCGTTTTCCTGGCTCTGTAGGGTCTTTGGGTCCCACTCCCGCCGGGCTGAATGGGGAGGAAGGGCAGGGCCGGACTGGGGATTCCAAAGCAGCCCTGGAAAAAAAAATCTATTCCAGCCCCATAAGTCATTGCGCCATATATTGTCGCATGTAATATGTAAGGCTATGTCTTGCCACCCTAGATGATTGATATATTGCTTTTTCCATTATAAAATATTGGTCCTTTCAGAGTAAAATTTTTTATTAAACAGTAAACATACTCACTGCAGACACAGACAATCTCACTGACACAAGCTGATTGATACACAGCCTCATAGACAATCTCACTGATATACATAAGGTCATTGACATAAAAACACAAGCTCAATCAGTAGCAGGCACACACATACACACACGCAAGCCCACTCACTAGCAGGCGCGCGCACACACACACAGCTTAATGTAGTGGCTCTGGTGTCTATAGCCTGTCCCTGCAGGCTTTTCAATTTAACCCCTTAAGACCGGAGGGCGTACTATTACGCCCTATTCTAAGCGGCTCTAAACGCCGCCGGGCGTAATAGTACGCCGCCGGGCGTAATAGTACGCCCTCCGGTCTTTTCCTACTTACCCGGTCGATGGCGATCCCACGCTGGCGATCGCGGTTGGGGGGACCCCCTGGAAGCCCCCCGGCCATGTGAGAGTGAGGTCCTTGCGAGGACCTCACAATCACATGGCCGGGATAGCTGGCTGCAGCATTGCCAGCAGGGGGGCTACCTGTAATGACAGGTGGTCCCCCTGCTGGCTGGAAATCAAATGAAATAAAATTAAAAGTGTAAAAAATATAATTATATACTTAGATCATATATAATATAATTATATATATATATATATATGATCTAAGTATATATATACACATATACATACACACACGTACACTGTCTAGGTGTATTTTACTATTAATTATATATATATCTCAAATTACATGTAGACTGATACTGATTAAATACATATATAATTATTGTTTTATATATAATATAAAAAAAAAATATGTAAATACGTTAAAAAATAAAATTTAAAAAATAATTAAAATATATAGATGTGGGTTATTTCGTTCTAACTGTATTGTGAAATTAATATATATATATATATATATATATATATATATCAAAATACACGTAGAACGAAATAATATATATATCTATATACATAAATATATACGTATATATCAATATATATATATATATATATATATATATATAAAAATATTTTTTAAAAAATGATATAGATATATACATATATATATATATACACATACGTATATATATACATATATTAATTCTACATATATATTTATGTAATATTTTTACATAATTAGGTATCTTAATTAATTACAATTAGCGGGACCTGCTTGACAACCCATGCCAAAAGTAAAGGGAATTTAATTTGCTAGCACTATATTTAACCCTATAACTTTCCAAGACACCATAAAACCTGTACATGGGGGGTAGTGTTCTACTCGGGGGACTTCGCTGAACACAAATATTAGTATTTCAAAACAGTAACATTTCATTTTTTTCACATTAAAATTCGCCAGATTGGTTAGGTTGCCTTTGAGACCCTATGGTAGACCAAGAATGAAAATTACCCCTATGATGGCATACCATTTGCAATAGTAGACAACCCAAGGTATTGCAAACGGGGTATGTCCAGTCTTTTTTAGTAGCCACTTAATCACAAACACTGGCCAAAATTGGCGTTTTTTGAATTTTTCACACACAAACAAATACTAACGCTAACTTTGGCCAGTGTTTGTGACCAAATGGCTACTAAAAAAGACTGGACATACCCCATTTGCAATACCTTGGGTTGTCTACTATTGCAAATGGTATGCCATTATGGGTGTAAATTTCATTCCTACTATACTATAGTACTACTATACAGTCTCAAAGGCAACGTAACCAATCTGGCAAATTTCAATTTGCTATATTTGACCCTGTAACTTCCCAAAACGCCATAAAACCTGTACATAGGGGGTACTGTCTTACACGTGAGACTTTGCTGAATACAAATATGTGTATTTTATTACAGTAAAAGCAAACAGTATTATGACATTGACAGTTAAAATGTCATGTAGAACTAAAAAAGTTTTTAAAAAATCTTATTTTCTCCCATTTTTTTCATATTAAATTATGTTTCATAGCTAAATATTTGATATTAAATGAAAGCCCTGTTTCCCCTGAATAAAATGATATATAATAAGGGTGGGTGTATTTACTATGAAAGAGGTGAATTACGGTTGGACAGACATGTAGCGCAAATGCCAGGTTTTGTTTACATTTTGTTTTGTTCACAACGTGTACATTTGGCTCCGTCCTTAAGGGGTTAAACACTGATTTTTTTTAGAGAAAAGGCAGTGTTTACATTGCTTCCTAGTGACAGACACTCAGACGGTCACTAGAGGTGCTTCCTGTGTCAGTGCGGATTGGATTGGATTAGAGGCAGGGCCAGTCGAGGGGAGACCAGCACGACGTGGGGAAAAAAAAAGGTGAGTAAAAACACACATACACACACACACCATGACACAGACAGACAGTGACACAGACAGAAACACACACCGTGACACAGACACACCATGACAGACACACACCTTAAAAAGGACACACACACATCTTGACATACACCATAACACAGACAGACCATGACACAGACACACACACACCGTGACACAGACACACATTACATGACACAGACAGACACACACACCACAACACTTAGAGACCGTGACACAGACACACACACCACAACACTTAGAGAACGTGACACAGACACACACACATTACATGACACAGACACACACACACCATGATATACAGACACACACACGCCATGACACAGACAGACACACATTACATGACACACACACACACAATGACACATACACACATTGCATGACACAGACAGAGACACGCACACACCATGACACAGACAGACACACACAATGACACAGACGCACACACACCATGACACAGACAGACACACACATACATACACTCACACTGACACATATAATTGCTACCTGTGTGCTGGCGGCCGCATGGGGAGCTCTGATGGTGGCCGCAGAGGGAGCTCTTATGGCGGCCGCAGGGGGAGCTGGCTGTTCTGTCTCTGCTCCCCCGCCCCAGCGCACTGCTTAATGAGACCGGGGTCAGAATATGACGACCGCCAAAAGAGCTCCCTCTGCGGCCGCAGGTCAGCCAGCTGCCTGCCTGGCCCCAGGTGCCGACGGCCCACCGTGAAATTTCCCGGTATCCCGGTGGGCCAGTCCGGCCCCGAGGAAGGTGTTGAATTCTTACCTTTCTCCAGTGCCGGGCTCCCTCGGCGCTGGGGACTCTCCTCTCTCTATCGACGTCATCCGTCACATACGCGGCAAGAGCCACGTGCGCATTCAGTCAGTCCATAGGAAAACATTTCTTAATGCTTTCCTATGGACGGCAGCGTCTTCTGAAAATCACAGTGCAAAGCGCCTCTAGCGGCTGTCAATGAGACAGCCACTAGAGGCTGGAGTAACCCTAATATAAACATAGCAGTTTCCAGCTACAGCTGCAGGGTTAACCCTAGATGGACCTGGACAATTGAGCTGAAGTGGTCTGGGTGCCTATAGCGGTCCTTTAAGGGCCAGGTATCCAAAGTGGAAAAAAAAAACCTCAAACTCTCAGCTACGTTGATCTTAAAGTGAAAGTTCACTTTCAGCATTATTCACTAAAGTGAGCATTAACCCCTTAAGGACCAAACTTCTGGAATAAAAGGGAATCATGATATGTCACACATGTCATATGTCCTTAAGGGGTTAAAGGGACTTTCCAGTGCCAGGAAAACAATTTGTTTTTCTGTCACTGCAGGTCCCCTCTCCCTCCCACCTCCCAATACCCAGTAGCTGAAGGGGTAAAAACCCCTTCAGTGACTTACCTAAGACCCCCGCCGATGTCCCTCGGCGGTGGTTTTGGGTCGCCGCCACTCCTCATTACGTCTGCAGGTGAGCGAGACTGATCCCGCCGGCCGCGCATGCGAATTAGAGCTCTCCATAGAAAAACGATGCTCTAGCACAGGTTTTCTGTGCTATGGAACACAAAGTGCCCTCTAGTGGCTGTCAAGTAGACAGCCACTAGAGGTGGAGGTAACCCTGCAAGGTAATTATTGCAGTTTATAAAAAAAAAAAATGCAATAATTACACTTGCAGGGTTAAGGGTAGTAGGAGTTGGCACCCAGACCACTCCAATGGGCAGTAGTGGTCTGGGTGCCTGGAGTGTCCCTTTAATACTTTAGTAAATTTCAAATTTACAGGTTTATTTAATAAACACTATAGTGTTCGGAATACAAAAATGTATTCCTAATGCTATAGTGTCTCGCTACCTATTTAGACATCACAGTCTATCAAAATCCCCCACCCTGTAAAAATCCCTACCCTCATCACATCCGGTGACGAGGCCGCACCTGAAGTAAGGCCCAATCAGATGGATGTTGGCTTACCCATATGGGGTGCAAGGAGGGGGGGGTCTGAGACCTAACGATGTGCATGGGAGGGGGGTGTATGAGGACATATGCATATGTTTTAACAAATGCGCTGTGTGGGTGTAGGTTTTTCTAATGCAAGTAGTGCGCATGCGCCAACATAAGCACCCTCACACCACGCATGTGCAGTACACACATAGCATGTACATGCACCCTGCCTGCTCACACACAACATACCTGTGACAAACGCTCCTTGCCCTGGATGTTTGCCACAAATTCATGGAGGAGTGTAGAAGCTGGCCTCCGGCCCACGACTATGGGCCATATACAAAGACACTGTTCGGGAGTTAAATCTTCCCAACCACCATTAGTACCTTGCCCTGGGTCTCTGGTGGCCGTTCGCATGAACCAAACCCATGAATAGTCCCAATGGTTCTTAGCCGCGACTGCTATGGAACTAATTTCGGCATGAGGACTTCGTGGGTTACCGGTCACCTCAGCAGGACTTAGCCACGAATGTTATAGAACTTTTTTCGGTTTCAGGTGACCGTGCAGTTCCCGGACAACTTGGTTTGCAGTTTTGAACCATTTTGAAATCCGCCAGGAGAGCGCTTTTTGGAGGGAAGGTGCCTGAGACTAAGGGGAACCAACGCTACCTAGGAGCCAGCCGGAGCACCCCGTGTTGCGGCCGCAGGAGCTCCCTTAAGTTGACCGGCAAAAGCACCAAACGCCTTGGAACTGTTTTGGGTATAGGACCATGTGTGCGGCTGGTCAAAACGTTCACACAGTGGTGTTTCCCCTACACTGCATGGATCTGTGCACTTTTTGGAGAACTTGTGTGCTCAAATCAGGGCTATTTAATGATATATATTTTGTGGGGGTTGCTGTTTGTTTTTTATGTATTTTGATATTTTATATTTTTATGCCGAGTCACTCTGACAGAGAAATTTGTGTACATTTTGTGGGAGTGTTTTGGGCGTGTTTTACTGCATCTTTGTTTTGTAAATAAGTTTGGCCATGATAAAACACATTCGTTTCTACCCTTCACAAAGTTTAGGCTGATGTTTGGGGAATTGGGAGCTACAATCACTGCTTCACTGGGGATTTGGGAGAACTACAGCTGATATACTCAGCCGGAGTATAGGGTATCCGTTACAGTGCCCACCCCCAAGTGCATGGTGTTCACCCCATAAAGATCCCATACCTCCCTCTAGGTGGGGCAGAGGCGCCCCACATGGGTAAGCCAACATCCACTTGATTCGGCCTCACTTCAGGTGACGGAGGTTGGGAATTTGATAGAACATCAGTCTTTGTCCCGCTTCCCCAACTTCCTGGTTGAGATCATCAACACCAAGGAAGACAGCCACTAGTGTTGTTACAAAAGATCAATGTATAAATGCATGTATGGATAAGTGCTAAGCAGTCAACAGAGGGTTACATGAGGCAGCAAACACTGTTACAAAGGGGACACTTTACCCCATATAACAGGTACAGACAAAAACAATCACAAAAAAATGGGTTGCACCAAAAAAAAAAAACGGTGGTTTAGATTGAGGCAAAATGATGTACATGTGGATCAAAGTCCAACTTCTTTGAAAGCAAGAATACCGGATACAGAAATGTGGACTGTATCTGGTTGGACTTTTTTTTATAATTTTCTATTTCCCTAATACTTTTTTGTGTATTTTTTATTGACTGCAGTCTGTCAATAAATCTTTTGTGTCATTTGCATTATTTATGAGTCTTGAAACCTCTTAACTAAAACAAACATTGACTTCCATTTATTGGACATATCGACATCAGTACACTTGTGGCAGCTCTGTACCTTCTGATGTCATCAAGGCAGACAACATCGGTCCAATCACAAGTTGCTCATAAATACCCTAAGAACCTGCAGCATGGGGAGAGCCAGACTGTGAGCTGTATATTTTATTGGGTATCTGTGCCCAGGTTGTTGCTCTCTGTGAAGCGCACTGAAGTTCTACTGTGGAACCCTGTGATCAGAGGTACGGCATCTGTGATGTAAGGGGTGCAGAGCACCTAATGCCACCTGCGCAAGTGCAGCCGGCGGCACCATAATGGGCTGGGGAAAAGATCATAGATCTTTACTATCCCAGTATGTGACAGGCATAGGGGGCAGGAAGACTGTATTCTGCACCTCTGACTGGTGCAGACGTATTCCTCTCACAATCTTTGGCCATTAAAACCAGAGCTAATGAGAGGATGTCATAGAGTCTGTATCCATTAGTGATGCAGAAAGAAGCACTGATCCACAGAGATCTTGATATCCCCCCCTTCTCCCTGGAATACAAATGTGTATTTCTGACCCTATAGCACGGGTGTCAAACACAAGGGCCGCCAGACCTTGTCATGTGGCCCGTGTAGCCGCCGCCGGCCACCAGCCCAGTGGCGGATCCAGGGGGGGGCAACGGTCTCCCTCTCCTGCCAGCCCAGCAATGTGCCTGCGGACCGGAGGGGAGATCCCAGATCTCCATCCTCGGTCCGCAGGCACAGTGCTGACAGCCGGCGGGGGAGGGAGGGATAGAGCTCAGGCTGCAGCTCCTCCGGGTCCTCCTCTCGCGGGAGTTGGAGCATTGCCGCGGTTACCACAGCAACGCTCCAAATCTCGCGAGAGTGAACTCTAGCCCTGGAGCGTGGACTAGAGTTCACTCTCCCCACTGGGACCACCAATGAATCCCCCACCGGACCACCAGGGAAATGTACCCTCTCCCCCCAGTAAAGGTAAGAAGGCAGGGGGGACATAAATATATATTTTAATTAAAATTATATATATATATAATATATAAAAGCCCCCCTACCCTTATATCACACACACACACTGCCCCCCATACACCCACACTGCCCCCCATACACCCACATTGCCCCCGTACACCCATACTGCCCCCCATACACACACACTGCCCCCATACACACGTACTGCCCCCCATACACCCGTTCTGCCCCCATACACACATACTGCCCCCATACACACACACTGCCCCCATACACACACACTGCCCCATACACACACACTGCCCCCCATACACACATACTGCCCCCCATACACCCGTTCTGCCCATGTAATAATTGAATGCAGTGACAATAATTTATGATAATAAAGAGTGGACACATAGTCCTACAGATACAACCGGTCCTTTGAGGGTGACCAAACTGCTGATGCGGCCCCCGATGAATTTGAGTTTGACACCCCTGCCCTATAGTGTTAAAAAAACATTCTTGCCCCACTTAAACAACTAGAAAACCCACCTTATTTCCAGCACCATGTAGGTCTGCCAGTGCTGGCTACATCCCTGACCCGCTTCCTTGGCTTACATTATCAGAATGAATGATCCAATCACAATGCTTTCCCATAGGAGGTGTGCAGAGAGCGGAGCTAAACACCGCCCTGGCCAATGAGCATCTCCTCAAAGAGATGTATTGAATCAATGCATCTCTGTGGGGAACGTTCAGTGTCTCCAAGCAGAGCATGGAGACACTAAACATAAACGCCAGTGCAGCACTGACCCAAGAAGCATGTCTAGTGGCCGTCTGAGGGGTGGCCACTAGAGGTATCCCTAGACTGTAATGTAAACAGCAAAAACCCTGCAGCTATAGGCTATACTCACCAGCATAACTACAATAAGCTTTAGTGTCCCTTTGATAAATATATATACCCCAAACCCTACCTTATACCTTCGCAGACACACTATATCCCCGATAAACACACACTACAGCCCCTAAACACACACTCTCTACGCTATACCCTCTATACACATACACTACAGCTCCTATACCACACACACTACAACCCCTGTACACACTTTCTACATCACATACACACACAGTAGAGTCTCTATTCACACACTACATTCCCTACATACACACACACACTCTACTGCCCCTAGCCAGATACACACACAACATCCCCTATACACACTCTACAAGTCCTAGACCGATACATGTACACACAACATCCCCTACACAAATACCCTACAGCCATTGTGCACACAAACACTACATACTCATGCAAATGAGGATGTCATCCTATTTCTGGCCTCCTCTTTTGTGTTTAAGAGGCATATAAGGAGTTAGGAGAGAGACAATATAGGGCAGTGATGGCTAACCTTGACACCATAAATTGTTTCTGGACTACATTTCCCATGATGCTTAGCTAGCTTTTAGACTCTAAAAGCTAGCTGAGCATCATAGGAAATGTAGGGTAAGAGGGTTTAGGAGACACACAAGGGCTAAATGGAATGGGAAAAAACATCATAGGGCCTGTGGCACATTGGGCACACAAAGGATTCTCTGTTGGCACGCAATCCATACGTTTGCCAAATTGCAGGAAGTTCCAGAACACCCTGTGTGACAAAGATTCCACATGTTTGCGGAGATAGGTGATTTTAAGTAACCTTGTAAATGATAAACCTTTATTTATGTGTGCACTGTACCTTAATCTGTATTTTGTATACATTTTGGTATTTACGGTAGCACCACTACTTGAAAATGTGTGGTCCTGGTGTGCCCTCTTAATTTCCCTTTTTTTCACAAACACAGAAAGGGCAGACAGGCCCACTGGGAGATTTCCTGATGAATTGCTCTTGCCTGGGGCCTGTTGATGCATGAAAAAAAAAAAAAAAAACAAGGGACCAGATGGTCCTGTCTTTAATAAAATTTAGATTATTCCCTCACCGAGGCTAGAATAATACCTAATTTTATGGCAAGACAGGAGGCTTCATATTTGCAATTTTAACGCCCAGACATAAAAACCGAAGAAACATGAGATCGTTGCCGGAAATAAAATGTACTGAAAGTCTATTTCCTAGACCAATGAGCTGCGCCGAGAATATCCGTAAGAGACCCTCCGGCCTCTAGGGCTGCTGAAGCTGCAGCACCCCGAACCGAATGTGCCCCAAAGGAACTTGCCACCCCAGCCGATGATAGAAGCCATTGAATCCAACGAGCGATCATAGGGGCAGAAATAGCTCTAAACGGTCGTACCTAGGAAATCAACAGCTGCCCATGAGCAGAAGGGTGAAAGGACGAGGTCCTAAAGATATACATCCGTAGGCAACGTACCACACAGAGATGTGGTCTATCTGGAAAGTAAGGATACGACACCAAAGACGATAGTCTGGTGCCAGGCGCCCAAGAGTCCCAGAGTGTCAGGGTTCTAACCTGAGATGGGAGTCTGTAGCGCAGATATGTATGCTCAACCTTGCAGATAGACACAGTCCAAGGTGACCAGATAAGAAGCCACCTGGACTGTGAATCTGTGCATGGGGGCTGTGCAGGAAAGGTAATTCCAATGCAGTACTGACAAGGACATAAACGGCAGGATAGTCAAGGGATAGCTGAAGTCAAAGGATGCCAGAGGTCAGGATTAACGAAGTGTAGTTGAAGTCAAGGGATGCCAGAGATCAGGATAAACGAAGACAGAGCCGGGGTCAATATGGAGTTGAAGATCAAGAGACTGGAACACAGGAACTAAACACACACAACGGGATCAAAGACTTGATGAAGTTCCCAGGGCGAGGCTGTGTTTATATACCCTGCTGATGACTGAACAGAGTCAGGTGAAGCACAGCAATAGACAAAGTCTAGCCCCCTGTAGTGCAGACAAGCCAGGATGAACAGGACTAGAATAATCCCAATGACTAGGAACTGCTGTTGCTTAAAGGTAGATAGCAGGCCCAGGACCACAAAGTACTCCGGTTCAAATCCCCTGTTGGGCAATTCTGGGGTGACCACGTCCGGCCATCTGGATGTCACGATGAGAACCGTGACAGGACCCCCACTTAAAGAACGCAAACAGGATCTTGATAATAGCAGCACACCTCATTGTCGGTTTCACTATCCGAATCAAGAAAGTCATTGTAGTCAAAGTCCCCAGTGTGGAGTCCCTTTTTAGCGTGGGGCTCCTCAGTACCAGATTCTGGTACGGCTGGAGAACAGTCAAGGTTTTCTAAGATCTGGATGCAGGTGGTAAGTACTTCTAGTACCTCAGCAGGAGTGGAGTTCGCGGCTAACAATGCCTTTTCGAACTTTTGTAAATCCTCTGTAGGACTATAACACCATTAGAAAAAAAGCCACAAACCAAAGATAGATCTTCTTTGGGCTGACAGAAAGTAGTGATGGTTTTACTGGAGGTAACTTCAGAAGCAGATGCAGGCAACTCTAGAGCAGATGACGGAGGTTTTCTCACGGAGGCCAAGCATGGGCAGGCATGATGGCTTCTTATAGGACATAGAAAGGTAGTAGCCAGTCGGAGAGCTGACGGCCTTGAAGGACAAACTGGGAAAAGTGTGATAAAATGCCCTCTTTCTCCACAGTAGAAATATAGGCCATGGCTTCTCCTCCGGTTCTTTTTTAATGCGTCACTTTGAATTGGACGAGTCCTATTTCCATAGGTTCTTCAGGGTCGAGAAGGAATATTTATTGCA